GTGCAAGCTCTCCCGCCCAACACTGTTGCAACAGCTATAAAAGCTGTATATCTGTAGAAGTGGCGGGGGGCGGGGGGTGATGCCCAGACCACAACTTGGGACTTCCAGAGCTCTGGGATGGGAATCGCGTCAGAAGACAGACTGTGACTATGACTCACAGGCAACTTTCAGCCTTACTGAGTGTAGCCACGCAGTGGACTGTCAAGGCCCCCTACATTAAAACTCCTGAGAAGCCATCCTAAAGCACAGCGGGCACACACACAAGCAAGGAAAGACCTGAAGGCATGGTTTCAGTATGAGAGGCAACCCCAGGCCAAGGCTGTGGTGCAGTGGGTTAAACCACACCTATGACATCCATAACCCATGTTAGGAGCCCAGGTTCAAGTGTTGGTTACTCCACTTTTGATTCAGCTCCCTGCTTATACACTTGGTAAGATGGTCCATGTACCCAAGTCCCTGCCACCCTTGTGGGAGACCTTGATGGAGTTCAGGCTCCTGGCTTCTGCCTGGCCCAGACTTCACTGTTGGCGGCCATTTGGGGAATGACTCAGTAGATGTGTGTCTGTCTCTGTCAATCTGCCTTTCGAATAAATGAGTAAATGAATAAATCTTAGACAGAGAGGGAAAGAAGGAGAAAAAGGCAACTCCAAACTAGGGAATCTGGGAATCTGGTAAGAGAGTCTAAAAACATTGAAGATGCAAAAGGGATGTTTAACTTCACCGTTGATGGCTCTGGTCTGTTCATTCATTCCTAAATGAACCTAAATAAAGACCTGTGACAAGGTGAGCATCCCTCATCTGAAAACCCAAAAACTTGACACTTTCTGAATGACATTCAGAAAGTTTCAAATTTGGAGTCTGCTCAACTGGCTAATCCTCTTCCTCTAAGTGCCAGGGTCCCATATGGGCACCTGTTCATGTCCTGGCTGTTCCACTTTCCATCCAGCTCCTGTTTACACCCTGGGAAAGCAGAAGACAGCCCAAAGCCTTGGAATCCTGTACCCACGTGGGAAACATGCAAGAAGCTCCTGGCTCCTGGCTTCAGATCGGCTCGGCTCTAGCTGTTGCAACCACTTGGGAAATGAATTAGCAGATGGAAGATCTTTCTGTGTATCTTTTCTCTGTAAATCTGCCTTTCCAAGAAAAAAAAATCTTTACAAAAAAGTCTCAAATTTTGGAACATTCTAGATTTGGGATTTTCAGGTGAGATATATGTATATCTGTATAAATGTATAAATGATACAAATAAATGCATAGATGTATAAATGATACCAAAAAAACCTCCAAAAATAAGTACCAGGCCTTTCAGAAAGAGTAACCCACCCTAGATGGCTAAGGCCCTGTCCTGGATCCCACGGGGCTGTGGCAAAAACACAAGCGTGTCCAAAGAGAGGACACAGGAGTTCCACAAGCATCCACTTCCCGGCAAGAGAGAGAAGGCAGTTTCAAGGAGGAAGGGCAGCTGTGATTTTCAAGGCAGAGGTGGAAGGGAAGCAACTTCTCCCAGGGCCAAGAAAACTCACAGAAAACCAAGCCTGTTTAGGAGATGGCGCGTGGACCACCTGCGCTGGGATGGAGAGTCCCAATGGGTGCAAACGGTTTACTTTTGGGACTGATGCTGGAAAGGCATGCTGGGGAGGTCACAAAACTCACTCATGGCCTGTTTGTGAGCTCAAACCGACTTTGTCACACACTTGAAGTCCACAGCGTGAGCTTGCTCCACGACCAAAGGCCGCACTGTCCACCATGAGTTTGACTACATCCCTGGTTAAGAGGCCCTACCACCATACTTCCCACTAGCTTGAGAAACGCTATCACTGACATAAGCGACAACAGGGCCTGAAACACCAACCACAGAGCCTTGGGGAACACACAGGACAGTGCATCCCAGAATGGGACAATTCAGTTCCCTGAGAGAAACGGCTCAGCAGCTAGAACCACAACTGACCATTCAAGCAGTCAGGGCTAAGAATCTTGGGTTTGGGGCGCCAGCATGGTAGTACAAAGTGCCAGCCTTCCTATGGGTCTTGGCTGCTCCACTCCCTGATCCAGCTCCCTGCTGATAGTCCAGGAAAGCAGCAGAGGATGGCTTACACGTTTGGGCCCTTGCACCCACATGAGAGACCCAGAGGAAGCTCCTGGCTCCCAGCTGTGGATCAGTTCAGCTACTGCATCCCATATCTGAGTATGACTGCAAGCTGCTCTGCTTTTGGTACATCCTCCTGCTAATGCATCCTGGGAGGTAGCTGCTGGTGGGTCCCCCCAATCACCTACGTGGGAGAACCTACACAAAGCTCCCAGGCCCTGGCTTTGGCCACTTTGGCCCATTACAAGCTATCAGGGAGTGAAACAACAGATGTAAGATTTCTCTCTCTCTCTTGTCTGTGCTTAGATGAAAGCAGATGAAAACAAACATTTAGGGCCCGGCGCGGTGGCGCAAGTGGTTAAGTCCTCGCCTTGCACGCCCGGGATCCCATATGGGCGCCGGTTCTAATCCCGGCAGCCCCGCTTCCCTTCCAGCTCCCTGCCTGTGGCCTGGGAAAGCAGTTGAGGACGGCCCAAAGCTTTGGGACCCTGCACCCGCGTGGGAGACCCGGAAGAGGCTCCTGGCTTCGGATCGGCATAGTATCGGCCCGTTGCGGCTCACTTGGGGAGTGAATCATCGGATGGAAGATCTTCCTCTCTCTCTCTCCTCTCTGTATATCCGCCTTTCCAATAAAAAATAATAAAAATAAATCTTTAAAAAAAAAAAAAAAAAAAAAAAAAAGAAAACAAACATTTAAAAAAAAGAAGAATTCCAGGTTTCAAACACCAAGCCTCCTCCTCATCTTCTATACACTTATCACTTGGGGGAATCTGGAAGTTTGGAAAGTAACTCAGCCATTTACAACATAATTACACAAACTGCAAAATGGTCTAATCCACAAACCCAGGCAGTTGACTCCAGCCCTATTAACAATGAGGTCTTGCTACAACTCCAGTTAATTACACATTTGAGCAATGAGATGGAAAAATCTACTGTGATCTATTTAAAAAAAAAAAAAATCATTGCCCCCTGAAGTCACGCATCTGGGGGGTGGGCAGAGTTCTGGGATTTCACTAGAAGACAGCAGGCGCCTCGGCCGGGGCTGAAATTGTTTACAGCGCATGGACAGGTTCCACACCAAGGCACATTTGGTGGAATTGATTTAAGGCTCTCATTAAAATGTTCCTTTGTTGAACACAAGACACCACCATCCCCCAGGCCCTGGGGAGATTCCAGACCTCCTATCCCAAGCCATAACTCCCCCCCACACACACACACACAACCAGCTCTGCTAAACACCCACCACCAGCCACCACCAGATTAACATCCATGAACATCAGAGTCCTCTGCTTTCAGAAGGAATTTCCCATTTGTCAAGACAGTTCTCCCTCCCCTCCAATTCCTCACCCTCCCAGGGGCTCCACCAGAAATCTCTTGACTCAAGCACCAAGGAAGGCATCTGTATAGGGTAGATCTACACTCCCAGACCCACACAGAGCACCCCAAGCCTGTGAGCACCCCACCCCGCCCCCTACATCAGACCAGGCAAAAAAAAAAAAAAAAGCCCACATTTCCTCTCGGAGCAGATGTGAATTTTGCCCTGAATCACCACCACCATCGCCACCACCTCATATGGGACCTGGAGCAACTCCAGAATCATCTCCCACGACTAAACTCTCCCTGGGTTACATGCCCCTCCTCTGACAATTAAGACTGGGGGAGAGGTGGCCTCCACCAGTGCCAAAGCCAGGCAGACAGCTGACAGGCCAGGTGCACCCCCACTACCACTCCGCCAAGAAGGGGAGTGAGGACATGGCCCCACGGGTAAAGTTCCTGGGGAGAGGGAGGCTTCCAACACCACTACTACAGATTTTATGGTTCGGGGAGGGAGGGGACACAATCATTCCCAGGGCCCCCCACACCCCCTCCCCGCTGTTTGGGATGTGCGGGCCTATAAAAGCACTTCAAAGTGGCGACACCGGCCAAGGGGGAGTAGGCAGGGTGTCCTGCCCGTTCCCCCCACCCCACCCCAAGATGCGGCCACACCCTTGCCAAGAAATCCAGGCCCTCTGAGAGAAGAGCCAGAAGGAGCTCTTTGGAGAGCGGAGGGGGTTGGGGGGGCGGGCCTGGAAATGGTTCTCTCCTCCACGAGGACACAGACGGACAGGACGGAAATCTAGGCAGGAAGGTGTACAACTAATCCCGTCCGCACCTCCGCGGGCAGGCCATACCCAATTTTGGCAGCGGCCTTCACACGTTACGCACCGCGACAGCCTGGGGCTCGATCCCCCGGCCCCAAATGGGCTTGGAGGCTCGAGCCCGAGCGCGGGAGACGACGAGGCGGCCCTCTGATTCTTGTCTTTTTTTGCCCCTCATTCCCATGAGCAAGGCTATCTGAGGTCCCAGTGTCGCCCGGGAGCTCGCAAGGGGGAGAGCCCAGAAGCATCGGGGCTGGCCTAGGTAACAAAGCTCGGCGCCTGGCGCGCCGCGCAGGTCGTTCAGGCACAGAGCACCAGGCCGGGATCCTTACCTGGCCGCAGCCCACGGGGCGACTCAGGTTCCTCCACTGCCCAGCCGCCACCCCCCCAAAACACACACACACACACCCACCTCAAAGAAACTTCCCCCAGGCCATGGGCCCGGGGAGCCGAGGGCCAGGAACTCCCGGCAGTTCTCGAGCCAACTCTCGAGTGAAGCCAGGGACGAAAAAAATATCTGGGGAAGCTGGAAGACTGCCGGGGTTGGGAAAGGGACCCCAGCCGAGTCCGCAGGGACTGCGCCGGCCTCCCGGCCCCAGGGGTTCCTCGTCTTGTTGCCCGAAACCCCGCACTGTCTGGAAGCCTCGCCCCTCCTCCAGGGGTCCTGCTCCCCCCCCGCCCCCCGTCGCTGCCCACTCAAACCATCCCCCCCAGTGGCTCGCTTTTGCCGGCAGGACTCTCGGCGCCTCCCGCTCCCCTGCGTGCCCGGGACTCACCGCCTAGCAGCGGCAGCAGCAGAACACTGAGCAGGGGCAGCCAGAAGGTGCTGGCCGCAGATCCCCGCGCAGCTCCCATCGCGGCGGGCTCGGGGAGAGGAGCCGGAGGGCGCACGGCCAACGCGCCAATTGCGCTCCACGGCGGGCCCAGAAAGCGAAGTGCACCGGCGCGGAGCACGGGCGCCCCTGCAGCAGCCGACAGCCGGAGCCCGAGTCCGACGCGTCCCGAGCCAGAGCCGCGCGCTCTCGGGTACCTCGGAGCCCTCGCGCGCCGCCGCCGGAGCGAAGCCCCGCCCCACGACGCCCCCTCCCCGCCGGCCTCCGCACGGCGCCCCGCCCCCTCGACGCCCCTTCCCCGCCGGGACGGGGAGGAGTTCGCAGTTGGGGGAGGGGTCTGGAGGGGGACAAGGTGGGTGATAGAAGAAGAAAGGTCTGGAGAGAGGAGACCTCTGATTCCCTGACCCCTAAGGAAAGATGGTCACACGGGGCCTCACCCAGAGGCCCCCACACTAACAGTTCCCCTGAAATTCTCCAGGTACGAGGGGAGAAGGTGAGTTGTGGCCCACTCTTCAGCAGCGCACTATCCAGAGGGCACCCAGAAGCTCAGGGTGTCTTCAGTGTCCCCAGGACAGATGTAGCCGGGAAAGGGTGGTGAGCGCCAAGGCAGAGCTTCAGAGGGTGCGGGACAGAGGAAGGATCTGACTGGGCTCTGAACCAAGCTGGACCCCAAGGTAGAAGCATCCTACTGAACTCTGGAAGACCAGACCGAAGGTTGTTAAACTGACATATTCATCCCAAGTCCATCTCCAAGGCAGTCTGGGCTGTGTCAGGGCATGGCCAAGCCTCCAGCTGTGGCCCAGCACCGGCCCCTTGTTCCAGGCACCCCCCCACTCCCAGCGCCACCACCCCCACATTCTTTCTTTGTTGTGAAAGCAGCAAGGGGTGTAGGAGGCGGGTCAGGAGGAGGCAAGCTTCAGAAGATGGGCCCCAGCTGTTGCTGAGGCCTCCAGGATGTGCTGAGAGCAGAGGGATGGTGCCTTGTCCCCCACTCCCCGGAGGGCCCCCCAGGCCTGCGCCCGCCTCCCTCCCCCCTCCGCAGCTGGGAGGAGGAGGAGGGGCAGCCACAAAAGGGCCTCACAGGCAGGAGAAGTGGCGCCAGGACCCCAGGGTCCTGCCACATGGCCACCACATGTCCCTGACAACCCAGTCCACAGCACCTTCTCCCTGGGTTGTGGGCCTCTTTCCCCATCGCCAGATGCCTCTCTGCGGCCCTGCTGCAGGAGAGGATAGAAAGACAAGCCACCCTTGAGAGGTCCAAGACTCTGGCCCATCTGCCACTCACTGTACCTCGCCCCTCTGGGACGGACCTTCCTGATCTCTGCAGTCAGCACCCCAGGAGCAGAAAGGTTACCTGATTCTTTTATTTAAGAAATGTGAAATACATGGACCTGAAGTGAGGTGGCAGAGGGGCGAGGTGGTGGCTACCAGCCCCTCCAGTGGAAAAGCCAGAAGCAGGCTTCATCTCTAAGGTGCATACCTGATTTGTGCCCACCTTGGGGGGCCCAGAGCTAGCTACTCTAGAGGACCACCCCGTGGGGGGTGCAGAGTAGGGTAGGGTACAATATTCTGAGGGTCCTGCCTAACAGGGATTCCTGAGGAGGAAGCCAGAGACCCTATGGGGGTGGGGGCAGCATCTGGTTACCCTGCTGCCCCTCCTTCACTGTCCCACCTTGGGGTAGGGCAAGGATGGGAGCAGGGGGGAATGCTGTGAGGGTCTGCAGTGGAACCCAACAGGCCTTGGAGGGTGGCTCAATGTCAGCTGCTTGAGGAGAGGTCGGTGGTGCTGGCGCTGAGGCCCCGGGAAACCTGAAACAACAAAGCAACCCCATTAGCCCAGGGATCTCCCAGCATCCATCCCTCCCATTGGTACAAACAGCCCGGGACCTTGGACAGAAAGCCTGCAACTCAACCCCCAGCTCTGGGGGCCTTGGGTAGCCTCTGGAGAATCTTCTGGTGGGCATGGGGATGATGGGCAGGCACATTCTGGTGGAGGAACCTCTGGCATGTGCTCAGAATGTGTTGACACCAACAGCAGTCGCTGCCATCAGAACGGCAATCCTGCTTCCCCAAAGGGAGGTCATACACTGTACCCCTAAGCCTCCTAGGTGATGACTGGTGAATTATTCATCACTCCAAAGGTCCATGTCAGAGAACATCGATTCCTACTCCCTCCCTGATTGATTGGCTACTGCTTCTGGCCCTCTGTGGTCACTGTCCCAGCAAGCTATCCACCAGACTCCTCAAGGATAGCAGTTCCCCAGCTCTGCCCTCCTCCCTGACACCCACTGGGCTTGCCCGGTGCTTGTGTCCTGACTTTCTTAGCCCCTGGTGCACTGCTTACTCTCACCTGGAGGGGTGCTGCACTGGGTTGGTTCAGATAGTTCAAGGAGGCCGCCCGCTTCATGTTGCTGCTACAATGAGAAAAGAAGAATTGAGGCACTGCTGCACAAAATCAAAGTGCTTCCCCTCATCCCCCACAGCTCCCCCTTTCCCCCCATCCCCCATAATGCTCTTAACTGCACCAGGAACCAGCATCTCCTCAGGTACCTTCATCCTCCACCCCACCCAGGGCACATCTTTATCCTCCAACCCTCCCCACTGTGTCATCCCTCAGATCTCCTCCACACGACACTCTCCAAAGACTGGGGGCTGAGAGGAGTTGAAAGCAAGGGCTGACTCGCCTGCTTGGTCACCTCTCAACCTGACCACGTACCTGGAGGGCCGAGGCTCTGTGCCCTGGAGCTTCCTCACCAGCAGCTCACTGCTCCTACGAAGTACATCCCGGATCTTGCCCAAAGAGCCGCTCCTCTGCAGGGCGCCGCTGCCATCCTGGCAGAGAGAGAGAGAATGGGACAGTGAAAGCAAAAGGGCCTCCCTGCCAGCTGGCTTCTGAGTCCTCTACTACATTATTCTGTACACAGTTCCCACCCTAAAGCCCAGGGATTGAAAATAAGAGACTGTGAGGGAAGGCCTGTGGGGGTGCTTTTGGCTTAGTGGTTACTGGGGACACCTGTATCCCATATCACAATGCCTTGGATTCTAGTCTTGGCTCTACCACCCATGTGGGAGATTCAAACAGTGTTTCCAAGCTCCTGGCTTCAGCCTATCCCAGTATGCCTGTTGCAGACATTTGGTGAGGAAACCAGAAGATGGAATTTATGTCCAACTGTGTCTCTCATCTTGTAGTGTGTGTGTTCCCTGCAGGCATATGTCCTTCAAACAAATAAGGTTTTTTTTTTTAAAAAAAAAAAAAAGATTTATTTATTTTTATTGGAAAGTCAGATATACAGAGAGGAGGAGAGACAGAGAGGAAAATCTCCCGTCCAATGGTTCACTCCCCAAGTGACCGCAACGGTTGGAACTCAGCCAATCCGAAGCCAGGAGCCAGGAACTTCCTCCGGGTCTCCCATTTGGGTGCAGGGTCCCTGTGGCCTGGGAATGCGATGGTCAGAGCTAGGCTGGTCCGAAGCCAGGAGCCCAGAGCTTCTTCTGGGTCTCCCACGTGGGTACAGGGTCCCAAAGCTTTGGGCTATTCTCAACTGCATTCCCAGGCCACAGGCAGCGAGCTGGATGGGAAATGGGCCTGCTGGGATTAAAACCGGCACCCATATGGGATCCCGGCACATTCAAGGTGAGGACTTTAACCACTACACTATTGCACCAGGCCCTTAATTAAGGTTTTTTACAGAGGAAAATAAGAGCTCTGTCAAAAGTTGGCTCCCAGTGAGGGGCAAGAGAGGCCAAGGCACCGTCAGACTTACCCCTGACCACTCCACAGCCACCGAAGCATCTTCACCTCCCTCGAATTTCACACTGTCCCCAGGGCCCTCCTGAGAGGTCTTTCTGTTGCCGTCCCCCAGCAGCTCTGCCACCTTGGTCTGGCTGATTGGGTCAGTACCCTGGAAGGAAAGGAAAGGAGATGGGACTTCCTACTCTGTAATTCCTCCTGGGGTTGGAGCTTTCAACCTTTAGTTGCCATCAGCGGCTGCCAGGAGACCACTTTTCCTTCTGAAATCCCAGTCCACACCTGCTGGAACCACACTCACCTGTGCAAGGTGTTCCTGCACAGAGCCACACACACACATTTGGCCATTGCCCACAATGAATTGATCTCGCCACCTACTAATGAAGGCTCAGAATTGAGAAGTGGACTTGGGGGCTGTCTTCGGCCTCACCTTTTTACCCATACTACCAACAGGGCTCCCTTGTGAAATAGCATGGCTTCCCCTGTGTAGCCCCACTTAGCGATGAGACTGGTAAATCTGCTGTCCTGACCTCAAAGGGCACATGGAGGGTAAAAATAGGCTTAAAAAGAGCCGTGAGGCTTGCCTCACTATCCTCTCCTACCTGTCTCCATCAGTGGAAACTCCTGGTCTTAGGGGACTCACACAAAGTCCAAGGAACCCCCTGTTGTCAGAGCTCTCCCTTCTTGGGTCTTCATCCTTCTGACAGCCTCTGACCTGTTTCCGGGACCGCAGGGCACATTCCTCCAAGGTCTCAGCAGCCTCCAGCTTCCCTTGGCGCCTGTACAGGGCTCCCAGGTTCCGCAGAGTCGTGTTGACTGTGGGGCTGTGGGAGACAAGACCCGGGATACAAGCAAGAACAGCTTCAGCAAAGCAATCAGGAAAAGAGAGGTAGCAGAGCTAAGGCTGAGGCAGGGTCAAAGGCAAGTGCAGAAGGTCCAGGAGGTTGAGCTTGGGTGGAGGGCAGCCAAGGGTCCAGCTAGCTTTCCCTGCAGCTCACCTGCTCACTTTGCAGGCTTTGTACCAGCCTCCATACTCAGCATATGGTGTGCCACCTTCCTGGTGCCGGCTCTGTGGAAAACGGGGTGGCGAATGAGAGCCAATGATGAGACAACAGGGATGCTGGGGTGCAGGCTGGACTGGGGAAGGTGCCAAGTATCTGGGGCTTGGTGCAGGGGTAGGGAAGGAACAGCAGGGCTGGTGGAAAGAGCAGGCTATCCTGGCACCTCCTACCCCACTCACTCTGCTCATTTCCTCTCGCTCCTCCGCATGCATCCAGATGGGCTTGTGGTCGTCTAGGGGTGACACATGGAGTGGGGTGGGAGGTTACAGAACAGCGCCAGACAGTCTCAGGCAGCCAGGACTGACAGGGCTGGAAGAAAGAGGCCTACTCCCTCTCCACTTAGGGAACCACTGCAATCTTAACCTCCCATCCACCCACCCTACCTTTCCTGGGCATTTTTTTCCTTCCCTGCAGCTCCCGCTCCAGGCCCTCACCACTCACCATCCACAGATCCAAATTCCTGCACGTGGGCACGGGTCAGGATCTCTTTGTACAGGGTCTCAGCCTCGGCATACTTGCCCTGCTTCAGGTAACAGGAAGCCTGGGGAATTGGGAGGCAAAATGGGGGAACAAGAGATAGAAGGAGCCAAGGTCTTTGCCTGGCCCAGAGCCTCCACTTCCATCCCTCTCTTTCTCTGTGAATCAGCCTAGAAATATTTCAGTTCTAGCTGCAGGGTCACTACACTCCCAAAGAGCTCTGCTGGAACTTCCACCACCAGCAGGAAGCAGCTCCATTAGCCTCCAAGGTCAGCCCCAAAGAGAGACACAGGGTGGGTTAAGAGTGATGTGCCAGATGCTGCTACTAGCCCGTCCCCTCCTCCCACCCTGCATCCTTGCGTTCCTTACCAGGTTGTTCTTGGTGCGGGCTACATTAGGGTTGTCCGGCCCCAGCTGCCCCTCATAGATGGCCAGCGCGCGCTGGTAATAGCGTTCTACAGCCTCATACTTGCCCTGGTTCTGGCACAGAAGGGCCAGGTTGTTCAGCTGCTTGGCCACATCTGGATGGTCGGTGCCCAAGACCTGATAGGGGCCAAAGCGGCAGAAGGCCATAATGATGTGTGCACCCACATGTTGAGAGCAAAGGGAAGGAAGTGACAGAAGAAGGAACTGGGCAGAGGAGGCTAGGGGGAAAAATGAGGGCCAACAGTAGACCAGAGGTCTGATATAGAGAGGGGACTGGGGACACTTGAGGGATTCAGGTACCTTTTCTCGGATCTCCAGTGCCCGCTGGCACAGCGGCTCCGCCTCCTTGTATTTGCCCCTTTTGCCATAGAGCACAGCCAGGTTGTTGAGTGTGGCAGCCACCTGTGAAGACAGGCAATGGCACTGTTGGGCCCCAGGCGGAACAACCCCAAGCCAGGTACTCTTTGCTGACACATTCAGGAGCTGAGGGGAGGGAACCCACTCGGGGAGATGGCTCTTGGGTTCTGTGGGTGTTCTGTGCTCTAGGGGGATTTTTAGAAATTTCTAAAAGTGTTCCACACTCCGCCCCCCGGGGCTGAGGGGAGAAGTTGCTGTAAAGATTAGAACACTAGTGCCTTTGGAGAGGCAAGAACACAACAGATGTTCTGCATGTGTAGGGCAACTCTGCCAACTTTCTAATGTCCTGCCAGACACCCCAATGGTGGACGGCAAGCTTTGACTTTCAGCAGGGAGATCAAGATGGGAGCCATATATCCTGAGACCCATCATCCATGCCTTGGGGAAAAAATACATATATGTTTCCCATTTTTTTTTCGACCTTGACAATCCATAATTTGTCTTTAGCCTGCTAGCCCTACTTAGTTACTTATGAGGTAATTTCTCTCATTTTCTTATCATATTCAAATCAGTCCGGCCTGTGATTACTGGTTATAACACTGCCTTTTAATCACGTATCCACCCACGCTTCTGCTCTTTCATTTTTCTATGAACTTCTGACGTGGAAGTTGCTGGTCTGCTTCTGAGTCCAAACTTCTGCCTCGTATATCACACCACCGTTTTATGTCTCCTAGCAGAGCTGTACTCAACACAACTGTTCTTGTCTTCTATTTATATCCCGTTGTACTTTGTTAAATTGCATTCATTGTTATCAGAAATGTCCTTGTTTTCCTTTCATGTTAGCTAGGATAGCATATTAACTTTCTTGAATGAGGGATGCATTATTTATGACTTAAATTTCAGAATAGTTATTATTTTAAAAAAAGTAACATAAGGGCTAGCATAATGGCGTTATCAGGCTAATCATCTATCTGCCTGTGGCACCAGCATCCCATGAGGGTGCTAGTTTTTATTCTAGCTGCTGCTCCACTTTTCATCTAGCTCCCTGTTAATGGACTGGGAAAGCAGCAAAGGATGGACTTTGATCCTCTGCACGCATGTGGGAGACATAGAAGAAACTCTCGGCTCCCAGTTTCAGACTAGGTCCAGCTCTGGCCAGCCACTGAGCCACAGAGAACTAGGTGACACTGGGTGGTGCCAGGGAGAGAGGAGGTCCTGTGCCTCATGCCTGGGTATCCCAGTGAGTGATCCCAGCAGAGATATGAGCTAAAAGGGATGAAAGAGCAATGGCAGAGAGGACAGGGAGGGCAGGGCACACTGACAGCAGGGTGATCGGGGCCCAGAGTGCTCTCCCGGATGCTGAGGGCATCGTTCAGCAGGTGCGCGGCTTCCTTATACTTATTCTGGTCCCTGGAAGAGGACAAAAGTGGCAGTGAGTATCCTGACCTGTACCCTCCAGCCATCTCCTTGCCACCCTCCCTTCCTTGTAGAAATGTCTGGGGTACATGGGGTGACTGGGGACCTCATGGGGACAGGCAGCCTGGTGTGGATGTGGATGGCAAGAGGGGGTTACACTGAAACATCCATCCCAGGATGCAGAGCACTATATCCTAAGAGGAGGCCACAGGAAGCCAGAGATAAAGAGAGAGAAAAGGAGGGAAAGAGAAAGAGAGACTCCCACCAAAGGAGAGACTAGAAGTCAACAGCTGACAGATGAGTGTTATTTGAAGCCAAGCACTTGGCACAGAGAAGCGACAGCTCTGGCACCCCATGGAGAATAACTTGACAATGCAGCAGGGACAAGAGGTGCCCTGTAGAGAGGAAGCATGGGGCCATAGGAGGGGCAGGCCCTGGGGGAATCAGGTGGAGGGTGGCACTCACCGATACACCAAGGCCAGGATGTTGAGCATGGTCGCCACGTCGGGATGGCCACGGCCGGAGGTGCGCTCCAGGTCCTCCAGAGCCTGCTTGCAGAGTGGCACGGCCACCTCATAGCGACCCTGGGCTGCGTACTGGATCACCAGGTTGTGCAGTGTCCGCAGCCTGGCTGGGATCTCGTATCCACCCTGCTGGGCTGCTGCTGCGCCCTGGCTGCGGGACACTGAGCCAGCCCAGAAAAGGAACAAGAGATGTCCTGTTCGCCCTTCCTCTCCTTCTGCCCGCCCAGTGCTCCCCTCCATGCCTTACTCCATACCTGCACCTGTTCCCTCCACCAGACTTGCTACTGACACCTGAGACTGCACTGCTATCCTTTTATCTGCTCCCTTGAACCTGTGGCCCCTGACAGTTCCATCTGTTCTCAGTGATGCATTTGTTCAAGAAACATTTATTTAGGGCCCAGTGCAGCAGCTTAGTGGCTAAAGTCCTCACCTTGAACATGCTGGGATCCCATATGGACAATGGTTCTAATCCCAGTAGCCCCACTTCCCATTCAGCTCCCTGCTTATGGCCTGGGAAAGCAGTTGAGGATGGCCCAAAGCCTTGGGACCCTGCACCCACGTGGGAGACCCAGAAGAGGCTCCTTGCTCCTGGCTTCGGATCAGCCCAGCTCTGGCCATTGCAGCCACTTGGGGAGTGAATCATCAGATGGAAGATCTTCCTCTCTGTCTCTCCTCCTCTCTGTATATCTGACTTTCCAATAAAAACAAATCTTCAATAAGACCAAGCTGGGCCTGCATTGTATAGCATATTAAGCTTCTGCCTGTCAGGAGCATCCCAGATGAGCTCCTGACTACACCACTTCTGATCTAGCACCTGGGGAAGCAGCATAAGAAGGTCCAAGTGCTTGGACAGCTCATACCCATACGGGAGACCTGGATGGAATTCCAAGCTCTTCGCTTCAGTCTAGCCCTTCCCTGGCAGTTACATCTATCTGGAGAATGAACCAGCAGATGCAAGATTTCTCTCTGTCTCTCCATCTACCTTGTCTAACAACCTTTTATATAAACAAATAAAACTTAAAAAAAAAAAAAAAGCTGGAATCAGTTGGGTTATGCTCTCCCAACCTGTAGAACATGTTGTTCTGTATTGGAATTGTCCCCGGAACATAAAGGTAAGAAATACCCAGTTCCTTCCCTTCAAGAACACCAGCTGTTCCCATCTCACAGTCATTCCCTCTACACTGCGAGCTTCTACTGATGAGAGCTGTGTTGCTTTCATCATGCTATTCCTAGGGCTTGGCACCTATCATTTAATAACACCCCAGTGAGAGGGAGGAGGCTGAGAAAAATCAAAGGCCTAGCCCAGTCCTGCCCCTATTTCTGGACGTTGACATCCTGAGCACAGGGCTGGCACCAGACCAGCCTTCTGTGGCCTTGCTTCCCCCTCTGGCTCCAGAGGCCCACTCACAGCCGTTGCTGGAGTCTTCTTCCTCCTCATTGGGGAACAGGTCATCCAGGGAATCCTTGGTGGCGTCACCTTGCTTGTCCTCCTGGAAGGGAAGCAGCACCATGTTAGGGCCAAGACATCCCTGGGGACCTCTGCAGGCCATGCCCTGACTAATGGAGAGAACCTCTGCCCTGAGAAGGCCAGCACCTGCCCAGCCATGCCCTGGACTCTTTTGTGGGCAGAAGCCAGAGATGTTTGTGACACATTCCCATGGCTTTCCCTTCCTTCACATCCAGAAAGTTCCTTTCCTAACCACCTTCACTGCCCAGCCTGCCTCTCTCCTTCTCTAATTACAGCCCTGTGCCGATGCCTGTGTGTTTACACTGATTATACGTCTGTCCCGTCTCTCCTGGAGCTGGAGAGTGTGTCTGACCCTATGAACACATGTCCAGTGTGTCTTGCTCAGCCTCACACCCATCACTTGCCACTGTCCACTCACCTACTTCCTCACTGGGCAGAGTGTGCTTTTCCCATCAGTGAAGGCAACCTTATGCAAAGACCTCCAGGCCTCGGTGCCCTCCACCTGCACCAGTGCGTCCCATGCACAGCCCTGCTGACTCTCTCTGATGTGGCCCAGCTTTCTGGTCCTGGAGCCATAGCTTCAGTCCTCAGTCCTTCTTCCTTGGGGTCCTTTGAGATCAACCCCAAATCCTAGACCAGTGAGAAATTTGGCCTAAAGCCTACCCATCCTCTGTGCCCAACCCCTTTTGAGCATCCTTCCCCTGTCATCCTGGCCCTCAAGGACTGAGCTCCTTAGAATTCCTCCTTTACTCCCTCAGCACCCAGCATTTCCTGCCTGTGTTCTCGCACATGCGCTCTGTTGCCTAAAGACGCATGATAAATTCAAGAAGGCAGAGAGTCTTCCATAGGTCTTCGTGGCTCTCTGCACACAGCTTGTATTGCCTAAGATACAGGGATAGGTAAGCACCTGCTGAACAAGAACAAACTTTACACATCTCGACAGTGAATTTTTTTTTCAGCAGCAAATTTTAAGAGGATCTTATTCAATCAGATGACGATTTAGCATTTAGTGCCGTATACTGGAATTGGCCAGAGCCTGTCTGTGTCTCCCAGCCCTAAACACACATTTACCACTATGGAAGCAGCAGTTTAGTCTGCCGCCTTGTTCATGGGTGGAGCACACATGCCTGATGTAATAAACATTTACCTAAATGTTCACTGAGTGATCAAAGAGTGCTTCTGCTTTAACCCTCACCTGGAAAAGGAATCTGGCCAGGTGAGGGGAAGGATGACAGGACAGGTGGTAACTTCTCGACTAGTTCCCTACCCCGGCCAGTCACTCCTGCCAGCACTCACCGCAGCATGCCCATCCTCATCGTACTGTCGCAGCTGCCCCAGGAACTCTAGGTGCTTTTTCTCCTCCTCTAGCTGCGCCACGGCCTGCTCACTGCGCTGCAGTCGCTGCTGGGTGCCTGCCAGCTCGTCCCGCAGCCACTGGTTCTCCTGGCATAGCCGCCGCACCTGAGCCCGCAGCTTTTGCTTCTCCGACTCCACGGTGCTCAGATGGCTGGCAAGGGCCAGCATCACCTAGGTGAGGCATATCCGGTGAGCTCCAGACTCTACGGAGAGCCAACAGTCAGGAGGGCAGCCCCCTGGGAAGCAGTAAAAAGTACTGGCAGGAAACCGAGGAGCCCAGAGACCAGGATTCTGGCTGGCAATGGTGCTGCCCTCAAAACACACCCTGAATCCAATTCTCTCACCACTGTCACTGCCATGATCCCAGGCCAACCCACCACCCATGTGGAATGTTACAGTAGCCTCCTCAATGCTCTCCCTGCTTCTACCCTAATCTTAGTCTAGCAGCAAGATGATGTCAAGTTAGATCACAATATTTCTTGGTTGTTTAAAAAAATTAAAGGGAGAGATTTGTTTATTTATTTATTTGAGTTACAGAGAGAAAAGGACAAAGATAGATGAAAAATCTCTATTCACTCATCTGCTCCCCAAATTCCACAATAATCAGACCAAGCCAAACCCAGCAACCAGGAGCTTCTTCCAAATCTATGACATAGGTACAAGGGGCCCAAGCACTTGAGCCATCTTCCACTGCTTTCCCATGTACATTAGCAAAGAGAGATGGTTAGGAAGCGGAGCAGCTGGGACTTGAACTGGGCCCACATGGGATGCCAACATTGCAGGCAGTTGCTTTAACCAGGTGTATCATTAACACCAGACTCTGAGTCACTTCTTTCCGTAACAGTCCAATAGGGGGCAGCATTGTGCAGTGGTTGCAAGGCTGGCACTCCATGACTGAGTGGACCTTTCAATTTCAAAAGCTCCACTTTTGATCCAGTTTCCTGTGAATTTCCCTGGGAAAGTAGTGGAAGACAGCCCTAGTAATTGGACCATGGCCTTCCACATGGAATTCCTGGTTTCTACAGGTTGGCTCAATTACAACTGATCTAGACAATCAGAGAGAGAACCAGTATATGGAAGGTAACTCTACCGCATTCTGTTAGCCTGCCTTTTAAATAAATAAATAGATCATATACTAAAAGACAAAATGCCTGGGCAGGCATGGTGGCATATCAGGCAAATCTTCCACCTACAGTGGGCTCTGCTTCTAGTCCCGGCTGCTCAACTTTCAATCCAGCTCCCTGTTAACAAGCATGGGAAAGCAGCAGAGGATGGCCCAGTGTCTTGGACCCCTGCACCCATGTGAGAGACCTGGAAGAAGCTCCTGTGCCCCAGCTTCAGACTTGCCCAGCTTTAGTCATTGACCATTTGGGGAATGCCAGCAAATGCAAGGTCTCTGTCTCTCCCTCTCTCTCCTGTAACTCTTTCAAGTAAAAAAAAAAAAAAGAAAAAAAAAAGCACCTTTTAAAAAATCTTTCAATAAATATTAAAAAAAAAAAGATGATTTGGACAGGGTCCAGGACTATGATATAGTAGTTTGGACCCCAGCTGTTACACTTCTGATCCAGCTCTCCACTAATGCACCTGGGAAAATAGAGGAAAATAACCCAAGTGCAACCACATGGAGACCCAAAAGAAGCTCCTGGCTCTTGGCTTCAGCCTGGCCTGGCCCAGCTGTTGCAGCCATTATCCTACAAGAAGAGTCTGGATTTGGTTCCCAGCTTTGGCTCCTGATTCCAGCTTCCTACTGGTACAGACACGGGGAGACAGTGGGGTAGCTCAAGTCACTGGGTTCCTGCCACCCATGTGGGAGACCTGCTGGCTGCTGGCTTCAGTTCTGGCCAGTTCCTGGTTGCTGTATGCACTGGGGATGTGCACCAGCAATCAGGTAGGGGGTGCTTTTTCAGTCTGCATCTCCTCCTGTATTCCTCTCACAGCAAAGCAAAATAAAACAAAACAATAAGTGGCAAAATATCTCAACAGTTCCATCTCAAAGTAAAGGCTACTTGCACACGATTGATCTCTTTCTCCCAAGCCCATCACCCACTCAACTGACTGTGATTTTGTTTCCCTTCATTCTCTGCACTGCAACCATACCAGCTCCTTGCTTTTGAATGAACTCACCAGAAGGTCTCAAGTTCTGGGCCTTTGCTCTGGCTGTTTAGTCTGTTTAGGAGACTATAATTTTATTTATTGCATTATTCATTCCCTCACCTGTAAAGCTTGGTTCAAATATAACTCTTCCATTAAGGCCAATCTGGATTCATGTTAGCTAAAACTGCACTCTCTCCCATTCTCTCTCATTCCTTCCCCTGCTTTCTTTCTATCCTTAGCAAGTATTGCTCTGTCATACTGTGTTGTTTACCCATTTATTTGTGTGTTGCCTGTCTCCCCCAGTTAGAATATAAGCCTCAATGTGGCAGAAATGTTCTGATGGATCTCTGCCCAGAGCAAGAGCTTAATACATATTTACTGAAGTAAGCAAGCGTCTAGGACAAGTTAATCCCAAATGGCCCAAACCTCCAATCAGACAGCTGCTCCTCCACCCACCCTGTCGCGTCCAGCACCACCTCCAGCAGCTCACCTGGGCCTCACTCAGCCCCAGCTCTATGTTCTCCATAGATCGGCGCAGCTGCCGGGCCTTCTCATGCACCAGCCCCTCCTCATGGCCTCCCTGCTGCAAACACTCGATGGTCTGGGACAGGCTTTGCAGCACAGCCTGGTGCTCACTGCGCAGGGCCTCCAGGCCTTGGGTCACAAGTCGGGTGCTTCCCAGGATCTCCTCCTGGCTGAGTCGGTGCCCAGCAGGCTCATCCCGTGGCCCTAGCACCAGGCCTGACATCCTGGCCGGTGGGAACCTCGCCTCAACTAGAAGGAAGCAAGAGACAGACAACTGGGCATCTGGAAGAGCTCCTGGCTCCTGACTTAGACCAGCACAGCTCCAGCTGTTGTGGTCACTTGGGGAGTGAATTATCAGACAGAAAATCTTCTTCTCTGTCTCTCCTCCTCTATGTATCTGACTTTACAATAAAAATGAATAAATCTTTTAAAAAAGAAGAAAAGAGAGATAACAGTAAAGGACTCAAACAGGGGTCAGCATCGTGGCATGGTAGATTAAGATGCCTGCAATGTTGGCATCCCATGTCAATACCAGTTGGAGTTTAACTCCTGGCTGTTTTACTTTTGATCCAGCGCCCTCCTAATGCACCTGCAAAAGCAGTGGAAGGTGGCGCATGTGTTTGGGCCCACATGGGAGCCCTGGTAGAGATACAGATTCCAGGCTCTTGGCTTTGGACTGGCCAGCCTGACCACTGCAGCTGTTTGCAGGAGTGAGCCAGACCTCTCTCTCTTATTAGAACTCTGCCTTTCAAATAAATAAAAACAAATCTTTTAAAAATAAATGAATTAAAAATGGTGTTGGGGGAGTCACAAATGAGACAGGGTTAAAATAGGAAATATGCAAAAAACAGTGTTGGGGTTTCAAAAAACAAAAGAAAGGAATAAGAAGTTTCAAAGTTACACAAGAAGTTGAAATTGGGGGAAAGAAAAAAGTCAGGAGCTATCCTTGCAGGATCACATGAGAGGGCTCAGGGGCTGCAGGCTGAGACACCCACAGGAGCAAGCCCAGCATCTCCCCGAATAGCCAGCATTGCCTCTCTTCCCACTAAGTCTCACTTCTCAGGACTTGGGGTGCCTCCCTGCTTTCTCCCCAAAGGGCTTTGCTTTCCATCCAAGAAGTCCTCTTACCTGTGTACCCAGCAGAACCCGCAGCCCGGGGATCAGGACTGAGCCCGGAAGAAACTGTCCGTAGCCAGGGATTCAGAAGGATTTGCCTGGCTCAAAGTCCAGAAGTCCTTTGTTCCCACCCCTCCACTCCCCACTTCACAGCCACCCAGAGGATCTGGCACCAAGCCCCACCCAGGACAAGCACCCTCCCTCCTTCCTGCCCACAGATTTCTAAAGATGACCCATGTACCTCCTCCCTCCCCAAGGCACCTCACGCTCCAGGCCTGGGTGCTACTTTGTCCCCAGATAAATTACAGATAGATCTAATTTTAAAAATTGCTGCCCCAGGGGCTATGTCTGGGAGAGGGTGGAGAGGAAGCCCGGTCACTCCCAGTCCAGTCACTTCCGTGGCTTTCAACGTCAGGATCACCTGCTAATGGGCTGTGCCGGGAATCACCTCACGGTGTCTCCCCAAGGACGGGGGAAGCATGGGAAGTGTCCCGGGCAGTGCGGGATGTCGGGACGGGGAAGCAGCACTGGGAGCTGGTGTTCCGACCCGGGACTGTAAGCGGCGGAGGACCTGTCCCGGGTGCCGGGGTGGGGACACCCTGACGTGAGCAGGGCGGGAGAGCGGGGGTGGACGCCCGCAGAGACCGCGGCTAGACGAGCCGAGGTCATACAGTCAGTAGGCTGCGCAGGGGGCGGGGCAGGCAGTCTGTCTGTCCGTCTTCAAGCCGAGGGGCGGGGAAGCATCAATGGGGGCGGGGTTTTTGAATCTGGAGTTATGTAGGGTTTGTCGCAGGAGGGCTGACCATGTGTCACGGAGTCTAGAATGAGAGATGGAGGGACCTCAAATCTCAGCCCCTGAGATGCCCGCAAAGACTCACCTGCAGTCTGTCGGTCCGGCTGCTTCCTTTGCCAGTACTATCCCTTTAAATCCATCATGGCTGCCGCTCCAGACAACTGTTTTGACGGCTCTAAGGGGCGGGGCCTGTTTTGCAGTCACATGACCTAAGAGCCTCCCGAGGATTGGCTCTAACGACAAGGAAAGATGGTGCGTTACCAGTCTGGACTGCAGATCTCTGCCCGCCCCCCGTTTACGTCAATGGAGAGCGACGGTGCAAGGAGCAGGCAATGTCATCTGTAATCGCCAGGCAACCTGCAGAAGGCAGAAGGTGGCGCGCTGAGTCCACCGGAGTGTGGTCACCCAGCATGGCCTTGAGTGCCCTGACCCGCGCTATGGGCTCCCTGAGTCTGGGGTCTCCAGCTGTCACCCACTCCGTCCAGAATCTGTTCCTCGCCTCCCAGGTAATCTACCTTACCGTCAAACATTTGAGGGCTGTTTGAGTTAGGGCAGCCGGGGATGGGAGGTTGGGGTCGCCAATCAGATTAGGAAACACACTGGAGCCTCAGCTGTCTCTGACAGTGTCGCTATGCCCTAGGGAGAAATTCTGCAGAGGAAATACAGGAGGTGATTGGTACCAGTTTTAGTGTTAGAGTCCGGGCTAAAGCCCCAGGACGTCAGGGTGCGAACTAGTCAATCCCCAGAGAACGACAGAGTCTCGCTGGTAATGCAAACAGCAAACAGAGTTTATTGCGCCAGCATGCTGGGGCCAGACCGCGCTTGGGGCACACAGGCCAGCCAAACAGGGCAGCTGGACCTCGAACGAGCCCAAGACAGAAGCTTATGTAGGACCTTTTGGGCTAGGAAATACATCAAAAGTAACAACCTTAGACATGTTAGTTTTTATGGCCTTCAGACAGCAGGGAGCCTGTTCCGTTCCCATACCCACTATCTGTCTGGCTCATCCCATTCTCACACCCTTATCGTCCTCCTTTTCCTGGGACCTGGGACCTGAAACCAGAGAAGAATTGCGCCATTGCACAACAATAACATTTTACCCATACCCTAACATTAGTAATAATTGAATTGAATGTCTGCTGTAATCCAGGTCTAAGTGTTACAAATTTCCCAATCAATGAACACTTTGCAAACACTCTATAAGGTAATTATTACCCTTCCCACTGGATGACCAAAGTCAGGTACTCCAGGCCACACACCAGGTATTATAGTTGTGCAGTCTCTGGCTTCAGAGCCAGTGTGCTTAGCCCTTGGAGTACTGCAAAAGATGATTGACAGCTGAAATTAGACAATGCAATGTACTGAGAAGAAGGTCTTTGAGTGAAGGCATCCTGACATTTCCGACAGGCAAATTGGAAGCCACAGAAGAGTTTTTTTGGGTTTGTTTTCTCTTAAAGATTTAATTGCTTTTGGGCCAGTATAATACCCTGATTGTGAAAGTCCTTGCTTTGCATCTGCTGGGACCCCATATTAGCACCGGTTCTAATCCTTCAGCCCCACTTCCTATCCAGCTCCCTGCTTGTGGCCTGGGAAAGCAGTCAAGGATGATCCAAAGCCTTGGGACCCTGCACCCACATGGGACTCTGAAGAAGCTCCTGGCTCCTGGTTTTGTCTCTGGCCTTCTCTCTGTAAACTGACTTTCTAATAAATAGATAAATCTTTTGAAAAAAAAAGATTTATTTGTATTGGACAGACAGATCAAATTTACAGAGACAGAGACCTATCTTCCATCTGCTGGTTCACTTCCAAAATGGCCACAATGGCTGCAGCTGAGCAGATCCGAAGCCAGGAGCCGCTTACAGGTCTCCCACATGGGTGTACTGTCCCAAGGCTTTGGGCCATCCTCCACTGGTTTTACAGCTCTCAAGCAGGAAGCTGGATGGGAAGTGGGGCAGCCAGGACACAAATGGGCGCCCACAGGGAATGCTGGTGCTTACAGGTAGAGGATTAGCCTGTTGAGCCAACATGTTGGCCCCAGAAAAGAGAAGTTTTCAGGCTTGCCCTCTGGCATTCTCAAGCTGGTTAGGGTAGAGTTGGGCAAAAATATATTTACAGGGCCTGGCAACATGGCCTAGTGGCTAAAGTCCTCACCTTGAACACACCAGGATCCCATATGGGCACCGGTTCTAATCCCGGCAGCTCCACTTCCCATCCAGCTCCTGGAAAAGCAATTGAGGACGGCCCAATGCTTTGGGATCCTGCACCTGTGTGGGAGACCTGCAGGAAGTTCCTGGCTCCTGCCTTCGGATCAGCACAGCACCAGCTGTTGTGGTCACTTAGGGAGTAAATCATCAGATGGAAGATCTCTCTCTCTCTGTCTCTTCTCTATATATCTGACTTTGCAATAAAAATTAATAAATCTTATTATATATATATTTACAATTCAAATCTCTGCTATGTTGAAAGCATGGATTTCAGCAAGGAGCAAGACAGAGGTCATCCCTCTGCTGCACAATCCTATGTGATCCTACTGTGGAGGCCAGAGGCAGTGGTACTGAGAGTGGTCTCTGGGCAGCTGCTGGGAGTGCTTGGGGGAAGGATGCATTTCCCAGAGGAGATATCCAAGGAGAGAATATTCCACTGGAGAAATACCTCAGAGGTGAGTGCATGGAGTGAGGAGAGGTGATGAACACAAAGCAAAAAAAGGGAACCACACTACTGTGGTCTGCGCAAGGTCTGAGGAAGATGGATTTTTTGGACAGCTGGTCTAGGGCACTTGCAGTAGAATGTGGGCTCCAGGTAAAAAGGGCTGTGCCCTCTCCTCTGGGTTAGTGGTTTTGTTTTTTTTGTTTGTTTGTTTGTTTGCTTTGTTTTGTTTGGTTTAAAGTTTATTTGAGGAGTTAGTGGGTAGAGCTACCAAAAGCAAGGATGGCTGTGTCTCATGTGAGCATCCATTTGAATTCTAGCTGCTTTACTCCTGTTCTAGCTCCCTATTTAGGCATCTGGGAGAGCCAAGTACCTGGGCTCCTGCTCCCCGTGTGGGATACTGGGATGATGCTTTGGCCATTGGCTCCAGCCCTGACATTGTGACTATTGGGAGAGGGGTGGTAAACCAGCGGGTGGAAGATCTCTGTCTCTCCATCAGCATTCAAATAAATATTTTTTAAAATAAAAAGTTTATTTTAAAGGTAGAGCAACAGGAAGAGGGAAAGAGAATGTTCTGGGGCTGGCACAGTGGCATTCCATGCTAATCCTCTGCCCACAGTACCTGCATCCCTTATAAGTGCTGGTTCGTATCCCAGGTGCTCCACTTCCCATCCAGCTACCTGCTTATGGTCTGGAAAAGCAGAGGAGAATGGCTCAAGTCTTTGGACCCCTGCACCTATGAGAGAGATAAGAACACAGATCCTGGCTTCTGTTTTCAAATTGATTCCTCTGTAGTCATTGCAGTCATTTATGAAGTGAGCTAGTGATGGAAGATCTCTCTCTTTCCTCTATAAATGTATCTTTTAAATAAATATTGAAAAAAAAAAAAAAGGCCCAACATGGTAGCTTAGCGGCTAAAGTCCTCACCTTGCAAGCGCTGGGATCCCATATGGGCACCTGTTCTAATCCCAGCAGGCCCACTTCCCATCCAGCTCTCTGCTTGTGGCCTGGGAAAGTAGTCAAGTACGGCCCAAAGCCTTGGGATCCTGTATGTGCATGGGAAACATGGAGGAAGTTCCTGGATCCTGGCTTCGTATCAGCTGACCTCTACAGTTGCAGTCACTTGGGGAGTGAATCATCAGATGAAAGATCTTCTCTCTCTCCTCCTTTGTGTATATCTGACTTTCCAATAAAATAAATAAATCTTAAATTAAAAAATGAGAGAAAGATTTTTTTGAAAGATTTATTTATTTATTTATTTTGGAAAGGCAGATGTACAGAGAGGAGAGACAGAGAGGAAGAGATTCCATCCAATGATTCATACCCCAAGTGGTTGCAACGGCCAGTGCTGCGCCAACACGAAGCCAGGAGCCTCTTTCCGGATCTCCCATATGGGTGCAGGGTCCCAAGGCTTTGGGCCTTCCTCGTCTGCTTTCCCAGGCCACAAGCAGGGAGCTGGAAGGGAAATGGGTCTGCCAAGATTAGAACCGGCACCCACATGGGATCCTGGCACATTCAAGGCTAGGACCTTAACCATATCGCACCGTGCCCAAGAGAAAGATTTTTAAAGCTCTATCTTGTGGTTCACTTCCCAAAAGCCTGTAACATCAGGAGCCTGGAACTCCATCCCGCTCTCCAACCTGAGGAGACTAACTGCTTCCTTGGATCGTATTAGCAGGCATTCCAGTATGAAAGGTCGGTGTCCCAAGCAGTGGCTCAACCTGGTAAACCACTGTGCCAGCCCTCAGGTTTGCTCTAATGCTTTTCTTCCAGCTGACTTGGAAGTACAAGCAATTTTTGTTTCACCCCAGGTGATCAGCAGTGCCGTCCTCCAACTGCCGCCCACCTTGCTGTTCCCCTCCTGCCGCCCATTCGTCACTTCCACAGCCCTTCATGCCAAGTTTGTTTCTTGGAAGAGTCGTACCAAGTACACCGTAGCACCTGTGAAGATGAGGAAGACAGGGGGCCGCGATCATACAGGTGGGGGCAAGGGCAAAGGAATTTAGCCAGGAAAGGAGAAAACTGAGCTGGAACACCAGCTCATACCCTGGAAGGCTGAAGAATGTCATTTAAAATTAATACATGCACACAAGCCAGGGAATGGAATCTAAGACACCAGACCACTAGTCTGTGCTTCCAGACATACTCTGTGTGGCCTGTTTCTCTTTTTTTTAGATTTATTTATTTTTATTGCAAAGTCAGATATACAGAGAGGAGGAGAGACGGAAAGGAAGATCTTCCATCCAATGATTCACTCCCTAAGTGACCGCAGTAACCAGTGCTGTGCTGATCTGAAGCCAGGAGCCAGGAACTTCTTCCGGGTATCCCACAGGGGTACAGGGTCCCAAGGCTTTGGGCTGTCCTCGAGTGCTTTCCCAGGCCACAAGCAGAAGCTGGATGGGAAGTGGGCCTGCTGGGATTAGATCCCACATGGGATCCTGGTGTGTTCAAGGCGAGGACTTTAGCCACTAAGCCACCGCGCTGGCTCTATTGCCTGTTTCTTCAATACTCTAGCAATCACAGTCATTGAAATGTTTTTAGTATAATTGACATGGACCTCCGCTAACTTAGATTCAGTAATTTGATGGAATTTCAAGAATCGCATGATTATATTTTCATCAAGCTCCATACAGTTTTCTGCTTCCCCAGTGTATTGTGTGCAGACTGTGATATCTCTCTGCGTGGGCCTTAATGCTGGGAAGCAGCCTTCTCCAGGCTGTCCCCAGTGCTGGTGGCTGACGCGGTCTGCTCTGGATCATGTCCCCAACCTCTCCTGATCACAGGTCGCATCCGAGTGCATGGCATTGGCGGGGGCCACAAGCAGCGCTATCGTATGATTGACTTTCTGCGTTTCCGGCCAGAGCAGGACACTCAGCCTGGCCCGTTCAAGGAGAAGGTCATCACAGTCCGCTATGACCCTTGTAGGCAAGTTTGGGATGGGGATGGGGCTGAAAGACTTCTGTGTAAGCCTCTGAGAAGATGATCTGGCCTGCTCACCAGTCTATCCTACCGAACAGGTCGGCAGACATAGCCCTGGTGGCTGGGGGCAGCCGGAAGCGCTGGATCATTGCCACCGAAAACATGCAGGCTGGAGATATTCTCCTGAACTCTGACCGCATAGACCAGATGGCAGGTAAGAGCTAGCTGCCCAACAAGAGGGCTGAGGGCTAAAAGGTCCATGTGCTGAACCGGCTCTGTCTTTCAGTTGCCGCCCAGGAAGGCGATGCGCATCCTCTTGGGGCCCTGCCTGTGGGAACCCTCATTAACAACGTGGAAAGCGAGCCAGGTCGGGGAGCCCAATACATCCGAGCTGCAGGTATGGCGAAGGGAGCTGTGGGGGGCCCACCATCTGGAACTCCAGAACAGTAGCTAAGATCACAGCTCTGAGCCCACTGGCCTTTGTCTGCTTCACTGACACAGAAATAATGGGGGGGAGGGCAGCGGACAGGAGTGGATGATGTCCTTGTAATTTTGTTTTGTTTTTAGTATTTATGAAGTTTGTATTACATGCCAGCCTGTTTGCTGGAGACACACACTGCAGTAGTTTTTTAGATTTTTACTAATAAGGCAGATTTACAGGGAGGAGAGACAGAAAGATCTTCCATTTACTGGTTTACTCCCTAAGTGGCTGCAACAGCTGGAGCTGAGCTAGTTCAAAGCCAGGAGCCTCTTCTGCGTCTCCCATGTGGGTGCCGGGTCCCAAGACTTTGGACCATCCTTGACTGCTTTCCCAGGCCACAAGCAGAGCTGAATGGGGAAGTGGAACAGCCAGGGTATGCACCAGTGCCCTTAGGGAATCCTGACGTTTGCAAGTGGTAGGTAAGTCAGTTGAGCCATCACACTGAGCTGGATGTGCTTGTCTTTTGAGTTCAGCAATGGCACCTGTTGTCAGGATTGATTGATCAGACAAGAAGATTCTTTTATTTTATTAAATTACACTACGGCCATCATCCATGCTCTTGGGATAACTTGCTTTGTCTAAAAACATAGAGTTTATATCCCCAAAAGCCAGGGTGATGAAGTTATTGTTACAAAGGCCCGATATGCAAACTTCTGTTAATCACTATCTTGGAGGAAACTAAGTCTCTAGGGTTGGTTTTTCTATGTTAATTAAACTTAAAGCCAAAGGAGAAGAGCAGCCTATCCAATGAACAGAAGAGGGGAAGAAATACGCCTTGGAGGTATGGGAAACTTCTTCCATAATTTACAACCTGAGACATGAAAGAGAGCTTTGGGACTTGTTGCTCCAAAATAAACCACCACACCAGCTGTTCTTCCCTTGTTATAAGCGGCTTGTTCACACTCAGCTTCTTACCTGTCATTCTCTGACCCATTCTCTCCTAGTGGGCCCGGCAAGGGTTGCACAGAGGTTAGAGTCCTGTGCCCATCCCCTACAACCTCCTCTTTCCCATGTGGAGGGTGGTAGAGCTGCATTTCTCTCCTCCCCAGGAACGTGCGGCGTGCTGTTGCGCAAAGTGAATGGGACAGCCATCATCCAGCTGCCCTCCAAGAGGCAGATGCAGGTGTGTGTGGGTACAGGTGGGAGGGATCAGCAGAGGAGGAATTTCCTGAATGCACCTTTGCTGTCTGGGGAACAGCTGGCAGGTGTTCTATGGTGCTAGGAACAGTGGCCTGGAGCCCCACTACACAGTCAAGCATGCCTTACAGGGTTGACACCATCGTAGTAGAACTGGAAACTATGTCTTGCAGCTAACCCAGTTCCTGCCATGGTTCCTCTGGTTTTGCCCTGGCCTTCGTCTTACCCCCCCCACCCCCAACAAGACTTGGACCCTCAACACTGCCAGGCTCTTTCCCCTCTGTCTGCATCTGCTTTCTCTTGGCAGGTGCTGGAAACGTGCATAGCAACCGTGGGCCGAGTGTCCAATGTTGATCATAACAAACGAGTCATCGGCAAGGCAGGTCGCAACCGCTGGCTGGGCAAGAGGCCCAACAGCGGGCTGTGGCAGCGCAAGGGGGGCTGGGCTGGCCGAAAGATTCGCCCGCTGCCCCCCATGAAGAGTTACGTGAAGCTGCCCACTGTCTCTGCTGCCCAAAGGTGACATCCTCCCCAGTGTACACCCTGGCTCTAATAAAACGGCCCCTTTTCCCTCGTTTTCATCCTTCATAGGTCTTTTTGTGTTTTTTAAGGGCGGTGGTAGCGGGAAAGCAATAATCAACCGGGGCTAGGGGGGAAAAGAAAACAAGAGAGGACCGGACGGGGCCATCTCATACCCCTGAGCATGGAGCCGGAGCAGGAGCCAGAAATGAGTCCAAGGCTGCAGAAGCGGGGGTGGGGGGGGAAGCGGAGAGGGCACTTCCGGTGAGGCCGGAAAGGAAGAGGGAAGGGCGGCGCGGAGCTGCCTCGCCGAGGTGGCACCCGCGGGCCCCGCCCCGACGCGCTCTCGGGGCCCCAGTTTTTCCGCCCGGACTCGCGCAACGGACTCGCGCACGCCGCCGGCGGCAGGGCCTAAGCCCCGCCCAGCGCGGCCGGAGGCGGTCCCCGCCGGCCCACACCAGTCTGGTCCGCCCTCCCTGCGGGAGCCGCGGTTGTTTGGTGGCTGCGGGCGCCCCGCGCCACGCCCCCTCGTGGCCTCCTGCCCGCGGCACGCCCCCTCCCGCCCCTCAGCGACCCCCTCTGCGAGCCCCCGGCGGCGGTGGCGGCGGCGCCCAGACCTTCCGTCAGCCGCCAGCGCCGTCGTCGCCGTCGCGAAGGACGGAGCCCACCCCCCCCTCCAGCGCCAGGACTCGGTGGAATTCTGAGGTGGCCAGAAGCCCCGGCGCGGGCTCTCCCGGACTGGCGCCCCCGGCCGCTCGCCCGCTTCACCGCCGGCCCCGCCCCCACGCCCCCGTCCCTGCGCCACAAGCCTCAGTTCCCTCGTGGCCCCCTTCCCGCACCACGTCGCGGGATTCTCCCTTTCCCCGCCTGCTCCCCCCACTCTCTCTCACTCCCCTGACCTCACCTGCCGCCCCCCAGCTTGCCTCCCCCTCGCGACCCTCCGCGGCTCCTCAGCTTGCCATCCGCCGGCGCCAGGCCTTTCCTCCCTGCCCACCGCCCCCTGCTCTTCCCCGCCAGCCCGGGGTGGGGAGGTGGGGTGCCAGCCGAGCGCAACCTTGCCCTGGGCCGCCCGCTCCCTGGCGAGCGCGCGCATGCTCGTCCCCGCGCCCAGCCCTGGGATTCCCTGGGAACTGTCCCGGGCCGCCCTGCCCCCACCGCGGCTGCCCCGCTCCTGGCCGCTAGGGCCGCTTTTGGCATCTTGCTTTTGCTCCCCCCCCCCCCCAATCAGTTTCTTTCTGAACAAACACCGCAGCCTTGCTGTGCTGAAGCCGGGACTCCTCCCCAGTGAGCGACGACCCCGACCCCGGATGTACCCCCGCCTCCCCCCCAAGGCCGCCCAACAGCTGCTGCCACATTTCCTTTCCCAAACTCCTGGCCCAGCCTTGGTGTTCCCACCACTCCCTCTGGCTGGCTGCAGCGGGCCTGTTTCTGTTTCTCCTTGTGTGTCCCAGGTGCCAAGATGGTGGGGGAACTGCGCTACAGAGAATTCAGGGTCCCCCTGGGACCCGGTCTGCATGCCTACCCCGAGGAGATGATCCGCCAGCGGGTGGGCCACGACGGCCACCCCGAATTCCAGATCCGCTGGCTCATCCTGAGGCGTGGGGATGAGAGCGAAGGGGCCTCCGGCCAGGTGGACTGCAAGGCCGAGCACATCCTGCTGTGGATGTCCAGCGATGACATCTATGCCAACTGCCACAAGATGATGGACGAGGACGGCCAGGTCTTGGGGCCCTCGCAGGAGTCAGCGGGGGCCCTAGACAAGTCTGTGCTGGGCGAGATGGAGGTCGATGTGAAGGGCTTGATTCAGAGGGCTCTTCGGCAGCTGGAGGAGTGTGTGGGCACCACTCCTCCGGCACCGCTACTGCACACCGCTCACGTGCTCAGTGCCTATGCCAGCATCGAACCCCTCGCGGGGGTATTCAAAGACCCCAAGGTCTTGGACTTGCTAATGCACATGCTGAACAGTCCTGATTATCAGATCCGCTGGAGCGCAGGCCGGATGATACAAGCCTTGTCCTCCCATGATGCTGGTGAGGGGCTGTGGGAAAGGAGGATGAGTGGGAGAGAGGCAGGGACAGGCGGCTTGCACTCAGGACACTGAGTGGCAGAAGCCTGACCTCAGTAGAATGGAAAACGTTCGCTGCCCTTGTCTCAGAGTGGGGATGTGTGGGAGGGGAACCAAGGGCGTCCTCAGAAAGAGTCAAGGCTGAGTCCTCAGGAGTCTCATGGGAATTGGCCTGCTGTACAGAGGAAGAGCTGAGACTACCGCCAAGCGTGTGCACGTATTTGTACAGAGAAAGTCAACTGACTTTTGAAGTACATCATATTGGTGCCACTTCCTGGTGGTATGATGGTTGGATTGGGATTATAGAAGCCTCAGATGAGGTACCTGGGGCAGGTTAAGGCTGAGGGAGCAGTTACTGATGGAAGTTTGGGTTCCAGGGACCCGGACCCAGATTCTTCTGTCATTGAGTCAGCAAGAAGCCATTGAGAAACAGCTGGATTTTGACAGCCGCTGTGCTCTGCTAGCACTGTTTGCCCAGGCCACGCTGGCGGAACATCCCATGTCTTTTGAAGGCATTCAGCTGACACAGGTAGATCCCCTGAGGGCCAGCTGGGGGCTGTGGCCGGCAGCTTGGGCCTCTCTATGTAGCTGTCCACCTAGACCAGAGAGGCTGAGGCCAAGATGAGGCAGGTGTAGACCACAGGTTGTATTCTGCAGGTGCCGGGAAGACTGCTGTTCGCTTTGGTGAAGCATTATCTGCAAGCCACCTTCCTCCTGGACCAGCTGAACAGCAGCACTAGACAATCGGGAGCCCAGAATGAGGACTTGAGTAGGAACCGGAGTCGGCTGGAGCTGGAGTTCAGCATGGTCATGGGCACCCTGATCTCAGAGCTGGTGCGGGCCATGCGCTGGGATCAGGCTGGCAACAGGACAGGGACTTGGTCACACTCCCCCGATTCCATCTTCCAGCCTCAGGGGGCAGATGCTGATGATACACAGCTCCCAGCCGCCCAGGCTCAGCCCTTTGTCTACGGGTCAAAGAGATTTCGCCCTCGCTCTCAGTTCGCCAGTGGCAATACTTACGCCTTGTACGTGCGTGACACTCTGCAGCCTGGGATGCGGGTGCGGATGCTGGATAACTTTGAGGAGATCAGTGCCGGTGATGAGGGCGAGTTCCGACAGAGCAACAGCGGCATGCCACCTGCACAGGTGAGTGTGTGACACTCAGTGGTGGCATGCTGCTGGATTGAGACAATCCCTGGGGAGACCTAGCTGGGAACGGTTATCAGCAATGGTAGGAGAGAATGCAGGTTTGTGAGGAGACTGAAAGGCAAGGCAGCCCCAAATGTCTGGGCGAGAAAGATGGGATGCTTGAGGCCAGCAGGAAGCATCAGGACAAAAACCATCCAAGAAAGGGGGAAGGGAAAGTAGAACCCATGGAGAAGGAGCCTTTGCATACGTGTGTTCTCTGTATGCCAGCATTTTCTTTTACAGAAAATTTTTCTTACAGTTTTATTTATTTTTGTTGGGAAAAGCAGATATACAAAGAGGAGGAGAGAGAGGGCCAGAGCTGAGCCAATCTGAAGTCAGGAATTTCTTCCAGGTCTCCCATGCGGGTGCAGGGTCCCAAGGCTTTGGGCCGTCCTCAACTGCTTTCCCAGGCCACAGGCAGGGAGCTGGATGGGAAATGGAGCAACTGGGGTATAAACCAACACCCATATGGGATCCTGGCACTTGCAGGTGAACGATTAGCCTATTGAGCCATCATGCCAGCCCATTCTTCACAGATTTTTAAAAATATATATTTATTTTTATTGGAAAGACAGATATATAGAGAGAAGGAGAGACAGAAAGGAATCTTCATCCGCTGGTTCACTCCCCAAACAGCCGCAACAGCTGTAACTGAGCTGATCTGAAGCCAGGACCCAGGAGCTTCTTGGTCTCCCATGCAGGGGCAGGGTCCCAAGGGTTTAGGCCATCCTTTGCTTGCTTTCTCAGGGCACAGGTGAGGAGTTGGATGGGAAGTGGAGCAGCTGGTATTAGAACCGGCATCTGTATGGGAGCCTGGCTTGTGCAAGGCAGGATTTTAGCCACTAGACTACTGCACTTGGCTCCCTTCATAGATTCTTTTTCCAAGCCAGGACATAGGGTGAGTCTAAGGGCTTTAGTTTTTATTGGTCACAGTTACTCAGTCCTCTGTGAGCCCTCTCTTCCCCCTCCCCCCCTTTTACTTTCCCTCATCCCACAGGTGTTCTGGGAGTCAACAGGTCGCACCTACTGGGTGCACTGGCACATGTTGGAGATTCTGGGCTTCGAGGAAGACATCGAGGACATGGCCGTTGCTGATCAGTATCAGCAGACAGTGGGAGCCCTGGATCAAGGTGAGGCTGGGAGGAAGTCGGGGTTGGCTCTGAGCTGAGTGGAAGTGTCTGGTGAGGTGACACCCTTGTGTGTGCCCTCCCTCCCCCACCCTGGTCCCTGTCCACAGCCCTGCCCTCCCTGCGCTGGAAGCCCATGAGCGAGCTCTATGCCGCGCCTTACGTGCTGCCTGATGATGACGATTCCGAGGAGAGGGAGCACCTGACACAGGCTGAGTGGTGGGAGCTCCTTTTCTTCATCAGGCAGCTAGAGGAGTCGGACCACCAGGTCATCTTGCAGCTGCTCCAGGAGAACTTGGATGGGGAGGTAGAAGCCCTGTGAGGTCGGCAGACTGGGCAGTGGGGTTTGGAGCAAGAACGGGCTGCAGGGACCCCATGTTCCAAGGTGGGGAGGGATTGGTGAGCTTTGTGGGAGGAGCTAGCTGTCTACCGGCTGTCATACACTTCTCCCTGTTGAATGTGTGTACAGAGACACCCCTGCCTTTAGCAGGGACTCCAAAGCCCACACGTCAGCAAGGTTGCCTGCAACAAGAACTGTTCTCTTTCACAGCACATTCTGGATGATGAGATCCTCTCTGAGCTGGTCGTTCCCATAGAGTTGGCCCAGGAAATGATGCTGTCTATGCCACAGAAACTGGATGACAACAGCCTTAGGGACCTCGTCAACTGCCGCATCTACAGAAAATACGGGCCTGCGGCCCTGACCAGCCAGGCAGCCTACCAGGCCTCTCTAGAAACTGAGCAACAGGTCCTCCCACCTGAAGCCCAGCCCCAGGAATCGGAAGGTGCAGCCAAAGCAGAAGGTAGATGTAAACAGAAGTGCAGGTGTGGCATGTGAGAGCTGTCCACGCTCACAGCTAAACAACCCCTCCTGGACAGGATAGCGTCTTACAGCGTGAGCATTGTGGCACTGTAGGTGAAACTGCCGCCTGAGACACCTGCATCACATGAGGGGCAGTAAGGCCCAGGTGTTCAGTTTCTAGCCTGACTCACTGCTAGTGAAGCAGTAGATGATGGCTCAGGGACATGGGCTCCTACCATTCACATGGGAGACCTGGCTGGAATTTGAGGCTCCTGGCTTCTACCTGGCTCAGCCCTAGCTGCTTTGTCCATTTGTGACGTATAGCAGCAGATGGAAGCTCTCTCACTCCTTCCCTGTTTTAGTCACTGTATTTTTCAAATAAATTAGTAAATCTTTAGAAAGTGGCACTTCGGGAATGATCCGAATCCTGGAGATGGGCAGCAAATGGAAAAGTTGGCATACTCTTCTGGTCATAGCACGAAAGAGGCTAGAAAGTCAGTGACAGGAGGTGTTTGAGGTTTTGAAGAAGCCCTCTGGTGGGACCTGAGCATCAGGTTACTGCTTAGGGTGCCTGCATCCTGTGTGAAATCCCTGCCTCAAGTCCCAGGTACTCTGCTTCAGAGCCAGCTTCCTGCTGAGTACTCTAAATGCTGCAAGTGATGGCTCCGACACTTACCCACATGGGAGACATGGATGGAGTTCCAGGCTCCTGGCCACAGCCTAGCCCAGACATAACTGTTTCAGGCATCTGGGAAGTGAATCAGCAATGGAAGATTTCCTTGTGTCTGTCTGCCTTACAAATGAAATGAAAATATTTTAAAGGTTTAATAGTGCTCTTGTGTTTTGAAAAGATTGATTTATTTGAAAGGCAGAGTTAGAGGGAGACAGTTCTTCCATCTGCTGGTTCACTTCCCAAAACGCTGCAGCAGCCAAGGCTGGGCCAGCTCGAAGCTGTGGCCTTCACTGTATCTCCTGTGAGTATGGGGCAGAAGTAATTAGGCCATCTTTTACTGCTTTCCTGGTGTATTTGCAGGGAGCTGAGTCAAAGTGGAACAGCTAGGCACCAGTTGGCACCTGTGGGGGATGCTGATATCACAGGCAGTAGCTTTACTCACTACATCACAAAGTTAACACTGACTTTGGTAGGGAAAAAGTTTTGTGCTAGTACATCTAGGTACATGATCTGTTGACTTTAGGCAGAGAGCTGCTTAGCTGTCTGTAAGTATACAGAATATAAAATTTATCATGAAACTGCTATAGGTATTATAAGTACATTGAGATACTATGGGACTGGCATTGTGATGTAACAGGAAATCCTCCACTTGCAACACCTATTTCCCATATGGGTGCCTGTTCAATACTCTGCTGTTCCACTTCGATCCAGCTCCCTGGCACTTGGGCTCCTGCACCCATGTGGAAGACCCAGATGAAACTCCAGGCTACTGGCTTTGATCTGGCCCAGGCCTAACCATCACAGCCATCTGGGTAATGAACTAGTGAATAGAACATCCCTGTCTGTCTCTCTCTTCCCTTCTCTGTAACTCTGTCAAATAAATAAATTTTTTATTAGAAAAAAAAATTTAAGATTTATTATTATTTTTTTTATTGGAAAGGCAGATATACAGAGAGGGAGTTCTTCTGTCTGATGGTTCACTCCCCAAGTGACCACAACAGCTGGAGCTAAACCGATCCGAAGCCAGGAGCCCAGAGCCTCCTCCAGGTCTCCCACACGAGTGCAGGCTAACAAAGCCTTGGGCTGTCCTTGACTGCTTTCCCAGGATACAAGCGGGGAGCTAGATGGGCAGCAGGGCTGCCTGGATTGTAACTGGCACTCGTATGGGATCCTGAAGCATTCAAAGTGAAGACTTTAGTCACTATGCTATCGTGCCAGGCCCTAGGAAAAATTTTTAAACCTAACTTTTAGGGGAACAGATAAAACCATTTTGAGGAGAAATGAGAAAGAAAAGAGCTGTGACTGCCCTTTTGTAATCACTGTTAATGACAGCTCACCCTGTGGCTCCTGGATTTCCACAGCCCAAGAAGCACCGTGCTGGAGCCCTGGTTCCCCTCTGCAGCGTCTGGCAGAGGAATGCAGCCCCACTGGGAAAGTCCTCCTGGACCTGGAGCGGGCACTGGGCTCTGAGGGCAGTCGGGAGAGTGCTGTTGCACCCTGCCTGCTGCAGCTCCAGCGACACCCCCAGCCCTTCCTGGTGCTGATGCAGAGCCTTGGCACACCTGCCACCAACCGGGCACTGCACCTGTCTGCTTTGAGGTACAGGGATGGAGAGTGAAGGGTGGGGGTGGACAGAGGGGCATCTGTGAGGCTGACTGCCCAGCTTCATCCTCTCCTCCAACCCTCCAGAATCCTGACACAGCTGGTGGACTTCCCTGAGGCCCTGCTGCTGCCCTGGCACGAGGCCATGAGTGCCTGCATGGCCTGCCTGCAGTCCCCAAAAACTGACCGAGAGGTACCATCACCTTACCCTGGGAGCCTCTGGAGGAAGAGGGAGTGCCTTAGAAGCAGCAGCTGGGGAGGCTGTGGCACTGGGCTGTGATCTAGGGTAAAGGCCCTTATGCTCTCAATTTGCCATTTGGGTTTTAAACGGAGTTTTATTTTTTTGACTAGGTAACATACTCACATGGTTCACAAATCAAAATGATGTAACAAGGTATACACTTTCATACCTGCTGCCTCTCCTCCTAGTGCCCCCCCCACACACACACACATACAAACCCTCACTGCTAATTGCTTGCATTAACTTAGGTACCTTCCTCCCTATGTTTGCTTGTGCAAATGCAAAGAACCCCAAATGTAAAGTTTCACTAACTAGCCCCTTGCTAACAACTGGCTTGAAGTCCTCACTGACTGGCCTCTTGACCAGGCTGATGGGAGAAAAGGGCTGAAGGCAGCAGAGGGCACCAACATGTCCCAGAATCCCCAGCAAGAGCTAAAGAGAGGTCCTGCGTACAGGAGTAAGAGAATGGGGGTCATGGGGCAGTGGGTGTCTGCAGTCTCCACCTCAGACTAGATTTAACAAGGTATATTAAATCTACACTGGGGTGGACTCTGACAGTGTTCTCACACAAGCTTGGTCCTTTCCTAAGGTCCCTCCCAGCCACCTATGTCCCATGCCTTGGGCTTGCAGGTCCCCAAACCCAGTCTTGCAGTGGGGCTTTAGGGCAGCTGGACCTGTCCACAGGAGCCCAGGGCTACACTGCACCTCTTGCAGAAAGCATCAGTGGCCTGGATTCCTAGGGTGGTTGGGCAGCTCAGGGCTTTTTATGCTTATTTCATTTTTGTCTCTGGTTCTCTGATCCCTCCTGGGTCTCATCTGTTTACATCCTCAATCACTGTGGTCACTGCAATGTCCCCAGCACACAGTGCTGCACCATGGCTCTTGGCCACTGTGGGTGTCCTTGTGGCTAAGCCTCATGTTGCTGGACTCACTTCCCTGACCTGGATACATCCCTGCAGGTGCTCCAAGAGCTAATCCTCTTCCTACACCGCCTGACCTCGGCAAGCCGGGACTACGCCGTTGTGCTCAATCAGCTGGGAGCCCGCGATGCCATCTCCAAGGCCCTGGAGAAGCACCATGGGAAGCTGGAGCTGGCACAGGAGCTGCGAGACATAGTGTTTAAGTGCGAGAAGCATGCCCACCTGTACCGGAAGCTTACTACCAACATCCTGGGTGGCTGCATCCAGGTCAGGAGGGCAGCTAGACCTGCAGACCTTTGGGAGAATTTAGTGTGAGCAATGCTAGGGATGGGAGTGGGCAGCTCCCAGGAGTCTGGGAAGGGCCTTGCTCCCATTGTATGCCTGCCAGGTCTTCTCTGCCACACATAGAGGGAATCCCACCGCTACCCTGATCTTGCTTGCTCCTATGTGTTCATGCATCTCTCTGTGTCCCTTCTTCCTCACCAGCCCCTACCCAACCCTGTTGTCCCTGCAGATGGTGCTGGGCCAGATCGAAGACCACAGACGAACCCACAGGCCCATCAACATCCCCTTTTTTGATGTGTTCCTCAGACATCTCTGTCAAGGTTAGTGCCCCTTCCCATAGCCCCGACACCTGTCTTGTGTCCCCTCTGCTCCCTCTGAGCTGTGCCTTCCACCTGTCCCCTGCTCGCCCCCAGGCACCAGTGTGGAAGTAAAAGAGGACAAGTGCTGGGAGAAGGTGGAGGTGTCCTCCAACCCACAGCAGGCTGGCAAGCTGACGGACCGCAACCCCAAGACCTACTGGGAGTCCAGCAGCAGCTCTGGCTCCCACTTCATCACCTTGCACATGCGCCAGGGCATCCTTATTAGGTACCACACCCACTTACTGAGCACTGTGTCCGCTGAGCAGCACAACTAGGCTTGCTTGGGCTGTTGCTGCGTTTGTCTGGGGAGGGCCTCTTCTCACTGTCCACATTGGGCCAGACAGTGCCCTGGGCTTGGGTGTGCCAGATGTGGCTCCTCTCCCACTCGCAGGCAGCTGATCCTGCTGGTGGCCAGTGAAGACTCGAGTTACATGCCTGCCCGGGTGGTCGTGTGTGGGGGTGACAACGCCAGCTCTCTCACCACAGAGCTCAACTCGGTAGAGACCTCTGCTCCCCTGGCCCACCCCCTATAGGATCTGCTTTTTGGTGTGGACTCCAAACTCCTTCCTGTCTCGTGCCTTACACAAGGCACAGTGAGTTGTTGCTCTCTGTGCTTATGTGACAGCTTCGGCCCTGAGCAAGGAACCCACCCATCCTGGGCTGTAGAACGGGACGGGGGATGGGCCAAGGGCTTGGGCATTGCATGGGCAAACCTGGGAGCACTGGGTGCTCCTACTCAGGTATGGCAGTTACAGCCCTGTCTCTACCCTGCAGGTGAACGTGTTGCCCTGTGCCAGCCGTGTGGTCCTGCTGGAGAACTTGACCCACCCTTGGCCTGTCATCCAGATCCGCATCAAGCGCTGCCATCAGGTGAGGCCTAGGACACAGGGTGTGGCCTCGGTATAAGGCTCTTGGCCCTGTCACCTGTGGCCCATCTTGAGCCAGGAGGGGCACTGCCAGAGTATTGGACAATCCCATACACAGGGGTGAGGCTTGAGGGCATTAGCTCATTGCGAGCATTCCATAGATGGTAGTTGAAACCAGGTGTGTGCATGTGTATGCACACACAAACATAGGTACATGTTGCAGGGTGGCATGGACACACGCATCCGGGGAGTGGAGGTCCTTGGCCCCAAAACTACAGGCTGGCCAGTGTTCCGGGAGCAGCTGTGTCGTCACACACGCCTCTTCTACATGATCCGGGCACAGTCCTGGAGCCAGGACATAGCAGAGAACCGCAGGAGCCTGCTGCACCTGAGTTCTCGGTGTGTAAGCATATGTGCATCTATGCGCATACATGCATGTGTGTGTACATGTGTGCCTCTGGAAGCCTGAGTCCTGCACATGATTGGTGTGCAGGGCCCAATACGAATCACAGGATGGGGCTATTAAGTGCTTGTAGAGGGGCTGGAGTGTCAGGAGGAGAGGAAAGGATGAAGGGAAGAGATTTCTCTGTTGAGCTGGGGATGGGGATACTGGACAGCTCACGGCAACCCCGAAGAACTGAGTGGGGCTCTGAGGCAGGTCCTGGGATCAGCTCTCAACCTCAGGCTGGGTAGACACCAACTAGGGAATATGCTCAGGCCCCTCACATCTGCATTCTCCATCCTCACTCCCAGGCTCAATGGGGCTTTGCGCCAGGAGCAGAATTTTGCTGATTACTTCCTTCCTGACGATGAGGCCGCCCAAGCACTGGGCAAGACCTGCTGGGAGGCCCTGGTCAGCCCCCTGGTGCAAAACATCACCTCCCCCGGTAACCATCCCCCCTGCTGGTCCCCTTTGCATCGCCTGGTCCCACAAACCCACACCTAGCTGTACCCTAGAACCACTGGGTTATATGCTCTTTGCTCTTTGGGTGCAGCCAGGGTCTCACTGCCTGTCCCTTTCTCTGTGTCACTCTATCCTATTGCTCATTGTCTACTCTGTCCAATCCAAGCTCTCTCGCAGCCCTGGGGACACATTGTGCCTTGCCTTACTTTGCTCTTCCTGCAGATGAGGAGGGTGTCAGCCCCCTGGGCTGGCTGCTGGACCAGTACCTGGAGTGTCGGGAGGCTTCTCACAATCCGCAGAGCCGCGCAGCAGCCTTCTGCTCCAGGGTGCGCCGCCTCACACACCTGCTGGTACACGTGGAGCCCTGCCAGGCGCCGCCGCCTCCAGTCATCGCCACTCCTCGGCCCAGTAAGTCCTGAGGGTTCTGACTGCGATCCTCACTGGGAGCATTAGATTCCTGGGCTCCCACTAGCATGCCACAGGGTCCGGGCCCTCCCCTTGTGCCCAACCTGTTCATCCTGCATGGTGGCAGAATGTCAGGGAGGGGACTCAGGAACCAAATGGCTACCCCTAGTTGAGTTGTCCATTTTCTTCGGCTCCCCAGAGGGCCGGAATCGAAGCCACGACTGGAGCTCTCTGGCCACGCGGGGTCTCCCCAGCAGTATCATGAGAAACCTGACACGCTGTTGGCAAGCCGTGGTGGAGGAGCAGGTGAGCAGGAGTGGGGTCAGGCATCATGGGGCACTGCAGTGGGTGATGCTGCGTCTTCACCTTCTTGCTCCTCCTTTCCTCTCTTGCAGGTCCACAGCTTTCTGGTCTCACACTGGCGAGATGAGAACTTTGTCCCGCGCTATTGCGAGCACTTTTACAATCTACGGAAGTCAAGCACTGAGCTGTTTGGGCCCCGAGCGGCCTTCCTGCTTGCACTGCAGAACGGCTGTGCTGCTGCCCTGCTGAGGCTCCCTTTCCTTGCAGCTGCCCACGTGAGTCTCCCCGCTGCAGCATGCCTCTTCCCTCCCAGAGAGCACCTACTGCATGCTTGTTTGGTGTCATTGTAGATGACCACAACATTAAAAAATACATGCTAAATAGACGGGAATGTGCTACCAAGTGTATCTTGATTAAGTGTTCTGTTCTTATGCCTGATTGTTCATGTACCTTACCCTGCTCTTTATATATCTATTTGAAAGACAGGGAGAGATCTGGCATCTGCTACTTCATACCACGTGCTAGCAGCAACTGAGGCAGGACCAGGCCAGAGGCAGGAATTTGCAACTCAATCCAGGTTCCCAGTGTGGGTGTAGAGATCCAAGCATATGGCCATCATTTGCTGCTTTCCCAAGTGCATTGTCAGGGAGCTGGATTGGAAGTAGAAGAACTAGAATTTGAACCTGGCATTCCTATATGGGATGCTGGTTTCTCAATAGATGGCTTAATGTGCTGTGCCACATCCCCATTGTGTCCATAAATGTGATAAGTATTCTAACTGCCTCTGCCCTGTGGTAAGAGCTAAGAGGGAAGCGTGACCAACTGCATGAGTCCTTCCAGGGATAGTGTTCCAGGGAAGGCACACAGTGCCGCAAGTGGTACCTGCCACACTGGTGCCCCTGGTAAGCAGGGCATGGTACAGTGGAAGATCAGGGCTGCTGAGTGCCTCCAGCTCCGTGGGCATCATGAGTACCTTACTGCAGGTAGCCACCATGCACATAACCTCATTTTGTAAAGATGTTCTTATTTTACTTGAAACTCAGACTTAGAGAGCTCTTCTATCCACTGGTTCATTCCCCAAATGGCTGTAATGGCTAGAGCTGAGCTGATTGAAAACGGAACCAGGAACTTCTTTCAGGTCTCCCATATGGATGCTGGCTCCCCAGCAATTGGCATCACAGGAGGAAGATTAACTTGCTATACCACTAAACTGACCCTAACCTCCTCATTTTAAAGTACTACTATTGGGCCTGTTGCGCTAGCCTAGTGGCTGAAGTCCTCACCTTTCACGTACCAGGATTCCATATGGGCACTGGTTCTAATCCTGGCAGCCCCACTTTCCATAAGCTTCCTGCTTGTGGCCTGAGAAAGCAGTCAAGGATGGCCCAAAACCTTGGGACCCGGCACCCACATGGGAGACCCAGAGGTGGCCCCAGGCTCCTGGCTTCAGATCAGTTCAGCTCTGGCCATTGGGGTCACTTGGGGAGTGAATCAAAGGATGGAAGATCTTGCTCTGTCTTTCCTCTCTATATAACTGACTTTCCAATACAAATAAAATAAATCTTAAATAAAATACTGCTATTAGGAGCCGCTATTGTGCCCACCTACAAAGCCAGAATCCCATATGAGCATAGGTTAGTTCAAGTCCTGGCTGCTCCACTTTCAGTCTAGCTCCCTGCTAATGAATCCAGGAAAGCAGATGATGGCCTAAGTGCTTGGGCCAGGCTCCTGGATTATTTATTTATTTATTTTAATAAGTTCTATGACAGTGTCAAGCAAGGAAGAGGGCTGCCAGCTATGGGCATGTAGGCTCCCAGCTGTTCATGTCGCTGTTTGCTGGTTCAGGGTCTGTTTGTGCACTTTTGATGCCCAGGTGAGCGAGCAGTTTGCCCGGCACATTGACCAGCGTATTCAGGGCAGCCGCATTGGTGGGGCGCGGGGGATGGAGATGCTGGCACAGCTGCAGCGCTGCCTGGAGACGGTCCTCCTCTTCTCGGGCCTGGAGATGGCAACCACCTTCGAGCATTATTACCAGTGAGAGAGGGAGATGGGGTGTGGTGTGGGGGGTTGATGACAGGACCCCAGGCCAGTCCAAGGAGCCCAGGAGTCAAGTGCAGGTGGGCCATCACCACCACCCATCCCACTGAGGCTTGGCCCTGGCTACATGTGTGTGCTGCAGGCACTACATGGCGGACCGTCTCTTGAGTATGGGCTCCAGCTGGCTGGAGGGGGCCGTGCTGGAGCAGATTGGCCTGTGTTTTCCCAACCGCCTGCCCCAGCAGATGCTAAGGAGCCTGAGCACCTCTGAGGAGCTGCAGCGCCAGTTCCACGTGTACCAGCTCCAGCGGCTTGATCAGGAGCTGCTGAAGCTGGACGACGCAGAGAAAAGGATACAGGTGGGTGCCAGTGTGGGCAGGTGATGGAGGCGGCAGCAGACTCGAGGAGGCCCATGACGGGATCCTGTGTCCCTGCAGGTAGGCCAAGAGGCCGGCAGCCAGGAGCCTGAGAGCCAGAGGAAGACTGTCAGGTCGGCTGCAGCTATGAGGTTTTTGGAGGAAGAGGAGGATAACAAGGACTTTTACTATGAAGGAGTGATGCCGGAAGTGTCTGTGCTTGTCCTGTCCCCCCGCTGTTGGCCTGTCTCCTCTATATCCCACATCATGGACCCCAGGATCTGCATACCTTCCTTTCTACGGGGCACTCTGAACCGATACTCCAACTTTTACAGCAGGAGTGAGTAGCCAGGGAGAGGCCCAGGGCTGAGACTTGAACTTGCACTTGGGAGCCTTGGTGTGGAGAGATGTGCTTGGAGGACAAGAGTTCCTTAGGCAGTGAAGGGAGGGCTGTTCTTGGGCCCCTGGCACCCATGTTGGAGACCTGAATGCAGTAGTTCCTGGCTCCTGGGTTTAGCCTGACCCAGCCCCAGGAGCTGTTGCAGTCATTTTGGGAGTAACCAGGTGAATGGAAGATCTGTCCCTCTTTCTGCCTTTCAAATGCGTTAAAATAAACTTTCCTTAAAAATACCTTCCCCCACCACTCCAAAGACTGGGCTTGAGAGCCTGCAGGTGTCAGGCCTGGCCCAGGTAGCTTCTGCATAGCAGAGGCTGACCAAGGAGGCAGGCCCGTGTCCCACAGAGGTCAGCAGTGGCAGTGCTTGACCAGGGCACACCCTCTCTTCAGCCCAGCTCTTTGAAATCCGCCCCGTTCCTGGCTTCTTTCTAGCTCAGCGCCACCCTGTCGTAGATGGAGGTCTGCAGAGGCAAATTCAGTGGACGTGGCTGGGCCGAGCTGAGCTGCAGTTTGGGGACAATCTCCTACATGTGTCCACCATACAGATGTGGCTGCTGCTGTACTTCAATGATCTGAAGGTGGCCAAACCCCTCTCCTAACCCTGCCCATCCTGCCAGTCCTCCCCTGCCCATTGTACAGGGAGCACTGAGTGTCCCCCTCCTCCTTTCCCCAGACTGTCTGTGTGGACAGCCTGGTGGCACTTTCGGGGCTCTCTGTGGAACTGCTGAACCAGGCCATCAGGCCACTGACCTCGTCCCGAGGCCCCTTGGACTTTCATGAGCAGGAGAACATTCCAGGAGGTATGCGCTAGGGGTCGTGAGAGCCTCTGCTGTGAGCCCAGGCCAGCCCCACCCCGTGGCGACCCTGGTGAGTGACGAGTGTGTATTTCAGGGGTGCTCAAGGTTCGAGATGAGGAGCCAACACCTAGGAGGAGTAGCGTGTGGCTCATCCCGCCCCAGACCTACATGAAAGCTGAAGGTGAAGGGGGCCGCAACCTGGAGAAGAGACGGAACCTGTTGAACTGCCTCATAGTCCGCATCCTCAAAGCCCATGGGGACGAGGGACTGCACATTGACCAGCTAGTCTGCTTGGTACGCTGTCCAGGGCTGTCAGGGAGGAGGCGGGGCAGGGCCCTGGCCCTGAAGACTTCCTCTCTGACAGTTGTGGGAGTGGCCGTAGAGGGTATTGAACACAGCCCTGCTGACCTGCTAACCTGCTCTTCCTGTGTTCTGCCTGCCAGGTGTTGGAGGCCTGGCGCAAAGGCCCATGTCCACCCCGCAGCCTGCTCTACAGCCTTGGCAAGAACTCCACCTGCAGCAGCACCGACGTCCTCTCATGCATTCTGCACCTGCTGGGCAAGGGCACGCTGAGGCGCCAAGATGATCGGCCCCAGATCCTAATCTACGCGGTCCCTGTGACTGTGATGGAGCCCCACCTGGAATCCCTGAGCCCAGGCTCCTTGGGCCCAAATCCCCCCCTCACCTTCCATACTCTGCAGATTCGCTCTCGGGGGGTGCCCTATGCCTCCTCCACTGGCACCCACAGCTTTTCCACTTTCCGATAGCTATGGGAGAGTCTGGAAGTGGGGCTTTCTACAGAATAAAACACAAGCATTTGATTGCATGGTGTGTGTGTGTGTGTGTGGTGGCAGCTCCTAGGGGGCTGGGTTCCAGCAGTGATGCCACCACCTGACAACACAGGGTTCTTGGTCAGGTAAGGGTGAAGGTCTGCCCTTCCCCCACTCACTGTGCACAGGGGATTGCATGAACTGAGGTGGGGTTGGGCCCCTTCTCATGCTGATGCTCATTGAATTAGCATGCTGCAATCCCAAGCCCATTCCCCCCTCTTCCTTTTCTGTCTCACCTGTTGCACAGAGCTGCCACCTAGTTCCCTTGGCAAGCCAGGTCTGCCCTTGCTGCTACAACTGGCTCCTCTGTCCCACTTGTACCCAGGTGGGTATGTGAGGGGACCCAGGGCTGCAACAGCCCTACAGCCTGTCCAGGCCACTGGGGAGGAAGAAAAAAACCCATGGTTATTTGCAGCCAAGGCGAGAGCTATAGGAATGGGAGTTGGGTAAAGTGGTACACTCAGGATGAGGCAAGAAGATGGGGAGCTGCAGAGGACATGGGCCATGTGCTCGCTCTGCACTATTTTAGACTTCAAAAAGCTCAGAGGCAGCAGAAGGAGGCACAGGTTTGTTAGAGCACAAAACTGAAACCCAAGCCTACATTTTACATAACACACATTGCCCTCCAAGCCTTCTGCAGATCTGTTAGTCTATACAGTTACCACTTCACCAGGACCCAGCACAGTAGCCTAGTGGCTAAAGTCTTTGTATTATGTGTACTGGAATCCCATATGGATGCTGGTTGGTGTCCTAGTGGTCCTATGTCATATCCAGCTCCCTGCTTGTGGCCTGGGAAAGCAGTCGAGGATGGCCCAAAGCCTTGGGACCCTGCACCAATGCAGAACTCTGGATTCCTGGCTTTGGATCAGTGAAGCTCCGGCCATTGTGGCCATCTGGGAAGTGAATCAGTGGACAGATCTTCCTCTCTGTCTCTCCTTCTCTTTAAATCAGACTTTCCAATAAAAATAAATCTTGTACCAGGGCCCAGCAGCGTGGCCTAGTGGCAAAAGCCCTCACCTTGCAGGTGGTGGGATCACAAATGAATACCGGTTCTAATCTCGGCAGCTCCACTTCCCATCCAGCTCCCTGCTTGTGGCCTGGGAAAGCAGTGGAGGATAGCCCAAAGCCTTGGGACCCTGCACCCGTGTGGGATGCCCGGAAGAAGTTCCTGGCTCCTGGCTTCAGATCGGCACAGCACCAGCCATTGCGGTCACTTGGGGTGTGAATCATTGGCTGGAAGACTTCCTGTCTCTCCTCCTCTTTGTATATCTGGCTTTGTAATAATAATAATAATAAAAAAAGTACTAAAACGAACTTACCTTTAAGTCCCATTTTTCTAGGAACTTTGTTAAGTATCTATATTGGGTCATGGTAGCGCTACTGGCCATCAACAGAACCTACCAGCCCTAAGGGCACTGGTGGGCCTGCCATTTGTCCCTCAAGTACCTATGACCTGTCTCCCTGGTTCTAGTCATGCCCTTAGTCCTGAGCTCACAAACAACTCCCAAGGCTTTTATCTCCAGCGTCCTGCTCTGGGCTCTAGTAGCCAGGGTCGCACACACTGCATGCAAGGGCAGAGGATGAGGCTCTTGGTCCCCATCTCCCTGTCAACAGATGCCCCACAGGTCATCTCTGTTCATGTGCAGGTGCTGCAGCTTTTAGCTTTTCCCCCGACATCCTGCAAAATATCACCATCAGCAGATCAGCTCCACTCCACCTGACTCTGGCCTAGCAACTTCCCAAATCCAGGGGAGCTCTGACCTCTGGTGTAGCCCCATTTTCTGTCACCAGCACCAGCCTGTCCTTGACCATCTTTCTCTTATCAGAACCTCTCATTCCCAGAGAGCAGCTGGCATTTCTAGGAGCAGGGGACATAAGTGTGCCAACATCACATCTGCACATTCCTTCCAGTCCTACAGAGGGTTGGGTCCTGCACTTGTCAAGGCTATCAAGGCTAACTCCCCCAGCCCTCCCCACAAAAGCCTCCTGAAACACAGATGGACTCCATCACCATCACAGTGTAACGAAGGGACAGACCTAAACAGGAAGCAGTTGAGTGGGGGCCAGGACACGTGGGACAGGGAGGAAAAGGAAGGTGAGCACTAACAGGCATGACTTCTTTTTTTTTTTTTTTTAAAGATTTATTTATTTATTGGAAAGTCAGATATACAGAGAGGAGGAAAGACAGAGAGGAAGATCTTCCGTCCGATGATTCACTCCCCAAGTGAGCACAACGGCCGATGCTGTGCCAATCCGAAGCCCGGATCCAGGAACTTCTTCTGGGCATCCCACACGCGGGTGCAGGGTCCCAAGGCTTTGGGCCATCCTCGACTGCTTTCCCAGGCCACAAGCAGGGAGCTGGATGGGAAGTGGAGCTGCCAGGATTAGAACCGGCACCCATATGGGATCCCGGGGTGTTCAAGGCGAGGACTTGAACCACTAGGCCACGCTGCTGGGCCCCAGGCATGACTTCTTTCTGCAGTGTCAGAAAGTTCGGATTGTGGGGCTACTCATACACACTCTTCTGAATATGCTCAAAACAAATGGGTTGGGCCCAGTGTGACAGTGTAATGGTTAAGGTCCTCACCTTGAATGTGCCAGGATCCCATATGGGTGCCGGTTCTAATCTCAGCAGCACCACTTCCCATCCAGCTCCCTGCTTGTGGCTTGGGAAAGCAGTCGAGGACAGCCCAAAGCCTTGGGACCCTGCACCCGAGTGGGAGACCTAGAGGAGGTTCCTGGCTCCTGGCTTCAGATCGGCACAGCACCAGCCGTTGTGGCCACTTGAATCATCAGATGGAAGATGTTCCTCTCTGTCTCTCCTCTCTGTACATCTGCCTTTCAAATAAAATAAATAAATCTTAAAAAAAAAAAAAAGTAAATGGGTAAATTACATGGAATGTGAGTCATATCACAACAGAACCCTCAGAACAAAAAGTATACAGCTGAGGAACTAAGCTTTTTCCTGCATTGCCTGTGGATCCGTGCTAGAGCAGCAGCTGCTTGAAGACCTGGGGCAGCTAATACTTTTTATTATTGCTTTTATTTGAGATAGAGACAGGGAAACAGAGACCTTTCACCCACCAGTTTATTTCCCAAATGAGCATAAACAGCCAGGGTAGTCAGGCTGCATCCAGGTTTCCCCTATTGGTGGCATGGACCCAAACACTTGTGCCATCTTCCACTGCTTTTCTGGGTGTATTAGCAGGGAGTAGCCAAGTCTCTCAACTGCACTTACACAGGCTGCCAGTGACTCCACACACTGGCCCTGGCCAGCGCCATCTCAAGGTGGACATTGATGATTTATTGTAGCCACCATCATTGGAACCCCTTTGCATGCTTGGGAAACTTCACACCACAAATTCGGAGGGAAGAAATGGTCCCCCTCCCACAATGCACAGAACAAGTGCTTGCTCCCCCAGCACACCCTTGCAGTGACCAAGGCAAAGCAGGGAGGACCCCTCCCGGGTCCACACTGCGATGTTTCTCCCTGCTCGGGCTTTGCCCTCCACTCCTTCAGCGCTTCCTCAGCCTTGTCAGCGGCGCTGAGGGCAATAGCTGGGAACTGCTTCTTCTGGCCAGCACTTGTTGACCCTGAGGATCCTGTGGCAAAAGGTACCTACCTCTCCCAGCCATATACATCCCCAAGTTTCATAAAAAAAAAAAAAGCGCAGTGATTAGGGAAAATATATATATATATACATATAAATGGTCACAAAACTTAATGAAGTGGCTCCTACATGAAGTCTCAGTCCTGGGAGCCCTGAACAGACTCCACTACATCTCTTCTGAACTGGAACCATTGGCAAAGACAGGGCCCAGGCTGAAGGAGTGGACCCAAGCTGGCGGACAGCTGTAGTGCCACGTCCTGGGGGCAGCCCTGGGGCAGACCGAGCATCCTCAGGACTTCTCTGTGTAGTTCTTTCAAGGGCAGCACTGGCCCTTGCTGGGAGCTTTGGCCATGCCTGTAGGACAGCTCCGGGCTACTCCTTGCTCACAGGGAGACGCCTCCTGTCCTTGCCCGCGTTCCGCCGCCGCTTGCGACTCAAGAAGCTGTCTAGTTTCTTGCTGCGCTTCAGCTCCTGGAATTTCTCAGCCAGGGCCAACTGGCGCTGCTCAGCTATGGACAGAGAGGGTGCGAGTGAGCTGGTGAGTCACGGGTGCCCCCTCTCACCCTTCGCCCTGGCCATCAGGCTAGCATTCAGTAGCTGCTGGGGCTCAGCAGTAACTGTGGCCAAGAGTCCAAGCGAATTTTTAGATGATCCCAGTCACACTCAACCCAATCACGCAGCAAGGGGAAAGCAGAGAGGTGGGGGTGGGGAAGGGTGATGTGTGACAGAGATAAAGCCATAACTCTTTGCCACAATCTAAGGGAACCACCCAGCTTTCAAATAACGCCTCCCTGTTATTTGTCCTGGAGTAGGAGGCACCTGCTGCACCTCCTGTGGAAGCTGAGGGCCTACTCACATCTCTTCAGGAAGTAGGGCCGGTGGCCCTGCTGGGCCTGCACCCGCCGCTCCTGCTTCTGGGCCAGGCGCAGCTCCTGTTGCCGCTTCCGCTCCTGCTGAGCCATTTCCTGCTGTTCCTGAGAACCCCAGGAGCCAACAGGTGACCAGGTGATCCCAACACACACACCCTCACCCGCCCCCAAGCCGGCTTTCACTGGCGGCCCTGCTTCACTGTAGGCCGCTTACCATCCGCTGAAGCAGCTGCCGCAGCTTCTCATGCTCCTCCCCAGAACGGTGCTTCTTCAACTGCTTTCTCACGAGCTGCACATGGGAAGAGCAACACAACAGAGAGCATGCTGGGGTGCCAGCCAGGACCTCACGCCCAGCAGAACTGCAAGAGACTCCAAGTCACTCAGAGACGACTACCACCCTTTCTGTGATCAGGAAACTACCGCAAGGAGAAAGCATCGTTTGCTGGGGGGCATGCAGTTAGTGAACTGCTGGGCCAGGATCTGAGTAGTCATACAAACCAAGTTAAAGAGAGCTCAATCTGCCCATGACCTTGCTTCCTGCTCCACTGTGCCTTGCGCTCTAAGCTGCACCCCACCACCCCATCCCTAGAAGCCCAGGGATCAGCATCCCAATACACACCTCTTTCTCCTTAGTTCGGATGTCATTCAAGAACTCATACGTCTTGTCAAACACCTCGGGATTATATTCTCCTGAGAGATCATCAAAGCGAGGATCCCGGGCAACCTTTGGGGAGCAGAGTGACAATTTCAACCAGGCAGTTGAGTTTCTCTTCCCTGAGCAATGACTTTCTGCCCCTACCTCACCTTTTTGCTGACCGGTACAACTTGACGTAGAAACGGCACCCGGACCTTGGCCGACATTTCCAGGGGTCTACAGAGAAAAGTAAAGGATAGTTCAAGGGAATTCCAGACTTGGGCCAAGGATGTGCAGCTGTCCCTCCCCTCAAAGGAAGCAGCCACCTACTCAAGGCCCCAGGTCTCCCGCCAGCTGCTAGGACGGCCCCAATGCTCACTTGTGCTTATCAGCAACACACGCATTTTGGACACGTGGTCTGGAGTCCTGCTTCTTAGTGCCAGCTGTAGCAACCAACTGCTTGTATGCCTTGGTCCCCACTTGGCTCTGTAATTCCAACAGCTCCTCGAATGACATGTTAGACATATCTGTGGGATGTGACAGGGGAGGACACAGCCTGGCTCAGCAACTTGTGCTACAGGAAAGATGCCAGAGGACCGTTCACTACTTGAAGGCCCCAGCAGTGAGACTGTGTGGGTGCTACACTGCCACCTGATGCCCTAACTGTTCTGCTCCCCGGAGCTTCAGCTGGCCAAGAAAGCAATACACTTGAGCTCAGAAGCACCTCAAGCCATCGTCTCTTTTTCTCACCTCTTGATGTCTTTATTTGAAAGGCAGACAGGGAAAGAGAGATCATCCATCTGCTGGTTGGCATCCAGTCCTAACAGCTGGGGGGGCTAGGCCAGGCAGAAGCCAGGTGGCAAGAAGTCCATCCAGGCTTTCCACTAAGGTAGCAGGGACCAAAAGACCTGAGCCACCATCTGTTGCTTCTAACAGGAAGCTGGATCCGAAATTGGGTCAGCCAGGCACCTGGATGAGGCTGTCCCAAGCAGTAGCCTAAGCTGTTTTGCCACAATGCTTGTCCCTTTTATTGGCATTTGGCGAGCGAACCAGTCAGAGACCTCTCTTGATCTATTTTTTTTTAATACAGATTTAATTTCATTGGAAAGGAAGATTTATGTGCTCGCTTCGGCAGCACATATACTAAAATTGGAAAGGAAGATTTACAGAGAGAATGAGAAACAGAAAGATCTTCTGTCTGTTGGCTCACTCCCCCAATGGCTGCAATGGCTGAAGCTGAGCTGATCTGAAAACAGGAGCCAGGAGCTTCTTCCAATTCTCCCACATGGGTACAGGAAACCAAGGACCCAGGCCATCCTCTGCTGCTTTCCCAGGTTATAAGCAGGGAGCTGGAGGGGAAGTGGAGCTGCCAAGACATGAACTGGAACTCATACGAGGTTTTGTCACTAAAAGGTGGAAGATCAGCCTATGGAGCCACCACGCCATAAACCTTAAGATTTATTTATTTGAAAGGCAGAGTTATCGAAAAAGAAGACCCAGAAAGATCTGTTGGTTCACTCCTCAGAAGTAAATGGCCACAACAGAGCCAGGTGACACCAGGCTCTTCATCTGGGTCTCACATGTGTGGTAGGAACCCAAACACTTAACTCATCTTCTACTGTTTTTCTCAGGTCATTAGCAGAGAGCTGGATTAGAAATAGGAGCAGCTAGGACACAAACAGCTGTTCTTAGTATATGCCAGTGTTGCAGGCAGCAGCTTTATCCACTATACCACAATGCCAACAACTCCCCCCCACCCCCCGCTTAAGATTTAGTTATTTGGATTAGAAAGATCAGATTTACAGAGAAGGAGAGACAGAAAGATCTTCCATCTGCTGCTGTACTCCCCAGATGGCTAGGACAGCTAGAGCTGAGCTGAGCTGAAGTCATGAGCTTCTTCTGTGTCCCCCACATAGGTGCAGGGTCCTTGACTGCTTTCCCAGGCCACAAGCAGGAAGGCAGATGGGAAGTGGAACAGCTGGGACATGAACCAGCACCCATGTGGAATCCTGGCACTCGTAAAGTGAAGATTTAACCACTAAACCATCACACCAGCCCCAACCCCCCTTTTTAAACAACAACAACAACAGCAACAACATTTACTTATTTATATAAAAGGCAGAGTTACAGATCTCCCATTTGCTGTTTACTCCACGAGTAAGCCAAAGCCAAGAGCCTGGGATTTCATTAGGCTCTCCTATATGGGTGGCAGGGCCCAAGCACGAGAACCATCCTCCACTGCTTTCCAGGTGCACTGACAAGGAAGTGGATCCAAAGTGTCTGGTATATCAGCACAATAGTGATTTAACCCTCCATGCCAACACTCTGGCCTCAGTAAACATTATTATTATTACTCAAACTTATTTTACTTGTAAGAGTTACAGAGGGAAGGCCCAGTGTGATGGCTCAATTAGGTAATCCGCGCCTTGCAAAGCACCAGGGTCCCATATGGGTGCTGATTCGTATCCTGGCTGCTCTACCTCCATTCCAGCTCCCCAGCTTACGACCTGGGAAAACAGCAGAGGATGGCCCTATGCCCCCACATGGGAGACTTGGAAGCTCCAGGTTCCTGGTTTCGGATTGATTCAGCGCCAGCTGCTGTGGCCACCTGGGGAGTGAACCAGTAGTTGGAAGACCTTTCTCTGTAGATCTGCCTTTCCAATAAAAAATAAATAAATCTTACAAAAAAAAAAAAAAGAGAGAGAGATCTTGCATCCACTGGTTTTTCCCCAAACGGCTGCAAAAGCCAGAGCTAGATGGGAAGTGGAGTAGCAGGGATTGGATCCAGTGTCTACATGGGATGTCTGCGCAGCAGGTGGACAATTAGAGTGCTATGCCATTGCGCTAGCCCTAGTAGGTAGCTCTTAAAACTTTAAAAAGAAAAAATCCCAGCAATTCCACTTGGGATCCAGCTGCCTGCAAATGAAGGAAAGGCAACATATGACAGATCAAGAGCTTGTGTGAGAGATCCAGATCAAAGTCCTGGCTCCTGGCTTTAGCCTGGCCCAGTCCCAGCTGCTGAAGGTACTGGGGGAAATCAGTGCATGGAAGATTTCTCGTATTCTGCCTTTCCAGGAGATGAGAAGAATTACTTTTTATTCATTTTTCTAAAAAAATATTTGAGAGATGAAAAGAGACAATTCCTATTGGCTGGTTCATTCCCCCAAATGTTGCCAACAGGAGCCAGTGTCATGGCACAGCGTGTTAGGCAATCACATACCGAGTGGGCACAGGCCAAAGCCAGGAGATGGGAACTCAATTCAGATCTCCCTTGTGGTGGCAAGTACCTGAGGACCTGAGCCTCCGTGTGGGGCAGCCAGCTGGACTGCCCCAGGTGTTGACCACCAGGACCAACGCCCACCGCTAACCTGCTTTAAAGCAGATCTCCAGGGATACTCCACCTCAGTCTCTCCTGGGCTCACCCCTCTCAAAGGTTTCCTCCTCATTCCAGCCTAAGGTAAGTAAAAGCAAATTTGATCTTACCACTCCCACAAATCAGCTGTCCATTGTGCCAACCCCACAACGGATTCCAGAAGCCAACCATCCAAGCAGATGCCTTCCAGCCTGCAGACGACCCAGGCCGCTGGGACGTTTCTCATCGACTAACTAAGCCTCCTCTGCAGGCGGTCCCGCCTCGGTTCCCGGCGTCTGCCGCTCGCGGCTCGCCTTCCTCGGCCCCCTGCTACCCCTGCTCTTCACAGCGCTGACACCTTCAAACACCACCAAGTCCCGACTGAGTACTCAGCACTCGGCTGAACGTGAGCTCCCTCCCCCTACACCACCACCGCTGCCTCCCCAGGATTCCGGCAGCAATCCCCGGCCCTCACCCCTCGGCAGGTTGGGAGTCGCGGCCCCAGACTCCCCGTCATCCCGGGAACGACGAGGACGCCGGGCGCCAGGACCAGATTCCGCCATCCTTTCCGTGTTCTCCCGGAAGGAACTGCGTCATTTCCGCTCGGGGCGGCTCCCGCCCCTCCGCTTCCGGTGACGGCTTCCAGCAGGTGACAAGCAAAAAAAAAAAGCTGGCGCAGCGGGGCGCCGGGAGCGCGTCCCAAGGAGAACCTACTCCGGGGACAGCTCTGCGACCTTCTACCCGAGTCGCTCGGCGCTGGACTCCGCGCCCAGAAGCAGGGGCCAGGTCTTGTGGCCTTTGGTTTCGTGATGGTTCTTCGCTGCGAAGCCAGATCCTCAGGGCGCCTCCCCCCAACACAAACACCACACCGCACCCACGTTTGGAGACTTTAATTCCTTCTTATAAAATCTGAGCAGGCTTGGCTTCTGGGGATGGCGACAGCTCAGAAAGGGTGGGATTATCTTCTGGTCCCCGCCTCCCGGGTCAGGGAGAAGGAGGTTTCATGCCAACAGCTGCGACTCCTCTCAGTTCCCAGCCAATGCTCATGGCTCAAGCAGGGGGACAAGAGGGGACATGAGGCTGGGAGCAAGGGACGGGGAGCTCCTGTGGCTGCCGCTGCTCACTTCTCCCTATGTGCCTGTTCCCTTCCTTTCCCAGCAGATCCTGGCTGGCCGGGGGTGGGGGCAGAGCTGGAGCCCAGGAGCCATCAGAGGTGGACGGGGACAGAGCACCAAGGGGAAGGGGCCCTTGGCCCAAGAGGGTCGGACGGCAGACCTGACCCTCCCCCTACAACTCCCCACTAAATTCACAGCACAGAATACACCTCTAGTCCAACGACTCCAGGTGGAGTTATACTGAGTCCAGGGTCTGAAGGGGCAGGCAGGTGCAAGACAAGGGGGGCAGGGTAGACGAAAGACGACAACAGCAGGCTCGGGAGGCGCGGGGGGGGGGGGGGGGGGGGGGGGGGGGTGGCAGAAACTTGCTCCTAGCCGTGGGAGGAGACGATGGGGCGGCTGATATTGCTGTTGGTGGTCATGGCATTCAGCTCCCACCTGGAAGGCCAACAATGACAAACAGAAGGTACAGAAGGGGGAGCCCTTGCCCCCAAGCTACAAACACACCAGTCCCTCCAACTTCCTAAAGCTGAAGCACCTCTTCATTTGGCCCTAATAGGTTGAACAATCAGACCCCACCCACCACCAAATCCAATAGCAGCCACCTCAGCACCTTTCAGCTCGTGCACATTTGTTTGTATCCATTGCACTATCCATTGAGTACAAGCACGTGCGACCCGTGGTCCCAGATTACCCTCAACACGAATACCTATTTGGGCTGTCAGATCTCCTCTTTTGAAAGCCAGGCCCTCCTGTTCCCATGCCTTTCCCTCACCCACCCCACCCTACAAAATCTCAAGACTGACCAAGGTCCTCTTTGTGCTAAGACCCTAGGCAGTCTCCTTGGCATCAAGGGCTTGCACAGTACCACACTGGACAGCCGGGGGTCCCCCAGTTCATCCTTGTACTCTCCCCACTAGGTAGACAGACTCTTCAGCAACTTGAAAGCTACAGAGCACTTGATACAATGAGAGGGAAGTGTCTTAGAGTGACTTCTATATAAGGTAACTTTGGGTGATTGACTTGAATCTGGGAGCGGAATTCAGAGTAGTCAGGACCCTCCTGAACTCTGGAGCTAATGTTAGCTAGGGGTTCCCAAACTTGGTGGTTTGGCAGCTGGTTCTCCCCGTGCCAACAAAACAACTGTGTAGTTGAGATCTGAGTGGGCATTTCACCTGCTTCCACTGTCACCAGCACAACAGTGTCCATGCCTGTGATGCTCCCTCCCCCTCAGCCAAGCCCTTTCCCAACACTTCCTATACCTGATATCATGGGGCAAACAGGACTGGTCCAGGTTATACTGAATCACGGCCAGTTTACACAGGGTCTTCAGACTCGGGCCTTTAGGAGAAGAATGGGAAGACAGAGATGGTCGGAAGTGGACAGAGGAATCCAGTCCTGGGTAGCGTCACCACCCGATAACAGGAGCATTTCAAAACCAACTGTACTTACTAAAGTCCAAAATGTGTAGGTCCGAATGATCTATGAGGTCAAATTCATCCCCCAGGCCTTCCTCAGGAGATGGACTGTGGGGGATCGAGACAGACAATGGTAGGAGGACCCTCCTGCTTACATTCTTCCTGCTTGGCATTAGTTCAACTTGGGCCCTGCCCTGAGCCCTCCCCTTTCTCATCCTAACCTGGTACCCCCAAAGAGGACAATCTTGTCACCAACGATGCAGCAGCATTGGCGTCGGCGGGGACATGGACCTTTCCCCTTCGGCTCGATCTTTTTCCAAGTAAAGGACACTGAAGAGAAATTTATATCCAGATTCAACACCTGCCCAACCTAGATACCCTCTCCGGTCCCCAACCTCTCACCCCTCACCTCTTCAGGGCTGTCCTCTTCGACCCCTCCCCAGAGGGAGTGCCAAAAGTCTTACCAGGGTTGAATTTCCAGAGGTCATGGAAGTGCCGGTTCAGCCTCGCATTATAGCCACCAAAGATGTACAACTCCCCGTTGTAGCCAACTGGAAGTAGGAAGGAGGTGAGTGGGAGGAGGGCAGGTTAGGGCAGGGCAGGACAGGGCAGCTCCCTGGAGAAGGAACTGGAGACACTCACAGGCTGAGTGGCTCCGGCGGCCCTCGGGCAGCACTGGGGTGGGAGGACAGTCCAGCCAGGCCTCGGTTCTGGTATCAAAGACGCGTATACGGTTGCAGTAAATCTCATTGTTAGAATGGAATGGCCCGAAACGGTCGGCCCGGCCACCGAAGACATACATGTTCTTGTCCAGCATCGTGGCTGAGTGGAAGTCCCTCCAGCGTGCGGGGTTGCCCTGGCAAGAACACAGGAATGGGACAGGGGTTAACACAGGGAGCACGAAGGACCTGTTGGCAGCTTTCAACCACGTATCTGACAGGGGAGAGGGTAGCGAGGGGCAGACCTTCGTACAGATGAGCGTCCATGTCATGGTGCTGGTATCCAGCTTGTGAATGTCATTGGAAAAGCAATCTGCCTGTGTGGGAAGAGAAAGGGGCCGATGGTCCCACTTGGGTTTTCCATCCCACTCCTCTGGACCCCCAGTCAAACCTGCAAACCAGCCAAAGCCTCCCATTCCACCACACACCCTAAATTTCCCCATCCCATTTCTCACTCAGATCCCCTCTGCTTTCTTCCCAGACATACCAGCTGCTCGTAGCCTCCAAAGATATACATGATCTTGTCCAAGACACAAGCCGAATGTCCATCTCGAGCCCCGGGGACTGTGCCCGACACACGGGGTGTGGACCACTTGTGAGTATCTGAAAGAGGCAAGAGAAGGGCAGCAGCCCCTCCAATGTGTCCCCCTCAAGCCCCAGAGGACCCCAGCCACCAGTCCCACCCTGCCACGCATACTCACTGACGTCAAAGGCGTAGAGAACATTGCAGGCCCCTTCGGTGTCATTCCGCCCGCCCCAAAGGAAGACTGTGTCATCGATGAGGACGGTAGAGTGTCCATATCGCATGTAGGGGACCACGGGAGCCTGCCCACGGACAGCAGGCCTCACAGGTGGCAGCTTTGTCCAACGCAAGGATACTGTTGGGCACAGCTATGCTTAGACATGGGCATCCCCCTCACATTGTCCATTTTGTCCTCCGCCAAAAAAAAAAAAAAAAGCCAGCTACGCCTCCCTAAAATCCCCTTGGTCACAGAGACCACGTATCCAAGCCTTGTCCAGCCATCCAATGCCCTCCCAGAGGTGGGCACCAGGGGAGGTGCGAGCCTCGGGCTTACCTGCATTGAAAATGTGCACGTCTATCTGCCGCAGCGTCTCGTAGTCCTCGCCAGAACAGTAACCCCCGAAGGAGTACACGCGGTGCCCGACAGCCACTGCGGCATGGTTCACCCTGCGGGGCCCGCCCTCCAGGTGCACTGTCCACCGTAACATCCCCTGGGCCACTGCTCACAGCAACATGCCCCCCCGGCACGGCCTGTCGCCTCTGCTACCTGCACACAAAAGCGGGACAAGCGACCCTCAGGGGAGGCCTCTTCTCCCTGGCTCACTGTGGCTCTGCCCAGGACTAGCCCTTGCCTCCCAAGGGTCACCTCAGGGGGAGGGGAAGAAAAAGGAGGGGCAGGGGACCTCCCACACCACCCACCGCTCCGCAGGGGACACTGCTCACACAGCTCAGGTGGCTGGCCTAGGGCCCAGAGGAGCTGCTGAGGCCAGGGAACCAGGCCTAGTTCACTGTTCTTCAACAGCCAACTTCAACCTAACTGTGGGCTTGGCATCTGCTCCTCCCGCTGGCTGCCCCCCAACTCCTGTAGGCGCTGCCTGGTACCCTGGCTTGGCACGAGCTCTGAGCCCCTTTCCCAGGCAGGGCGTGTTGCCCCCCGGCTCCGCTCTGCTTACGGTAGCCACCTCTCTAAGAATTCCTGTGTTATTCAAGATGGGGAAAGGGAGATCTCAAAAAATACTCCCAGCTATTAATAGCTCAGCTGGCCCCAGACGGGTTCATTGAAAGCTGGCACTGACACTTTAAAGCAGAAAAGCTTTTAGGCTTTTCGAGTGCAACAGTGCCCTGACCAACCCAGGACAGCTACCCCCCAAAACCTCCAGAGCTCTTATGAGACAGGCTGAGCTGCTGTCCCTGGGGTCGCTCAGGACACCCCCCTCAACCTCAGGCATGCAGAGTTCCTCTGACAGTTTGGGCCTGGGATGCTGCCAAGACTGGGAACTTAAGCCAGGATGGTATTATGTTTGCTGAGGATTGGGGGCTGAGAGCAGGGAGGAGGCTTTTTTTTTTTCTTGCCACGTCCCCAAACCCATGATCGTGTGGTTCAGAATACCCCATTTCCAGCAGCTGGCCCCTCACATGGCTCCTTGAAAGGAGGTTGGGCTTGGGGATTGGGGTGGGGAGAGAAAGCCCCATAGCTTTCCAACCTAGTTGATCACGGGTGCATTGGAGGGCTCTTTTCGGGCAAGTCCCTTGCTGGCAGGCACCTGCTGAAGTTTGGGTGGATCATCTGCTCCCTGTTCAAGAATTCCTGGCAGAGGGAAGAGCCAGGCCAAAGCTCAGGCACAAAAAAAGCTACCATAAGGGAGGCTCCTTGCAGGGTAGGGAAATAACTTCCAGCTGGCGTAACAATCATCTCCCCCACCGCACCCCCTGGCCCCCTTCCCACCACCTCCCCCAATCCCACATCCCACACTTTCAATCAACAGCCCCATCCATTGGAGAGCTACCCTCAATTCATGACTCCACTCTCCCACCAAAATATCTTGGAGTTGGGCTGGTATGGATGAAAAGCATTCTCCTACCCTTGTGGCCTCCACTCCCCTCTTTCGGTAGATAAAACACCGCACAGAAGAAGCCAGCAGCTCCAGCCAGAGGAGCACTCAGGCCCTAGGGTGAGCAAGCCCGGGTCTTGGGGGGGCGGTGGGGTGGAGAGCGCTCCTTCCAGCTCAGGGCTGCCATGCTTCCATGGTGGAGCTCATCTGACCACCTCGATGCGGCCACGTCCTCATCTCGGGGTTTTGGTCAATTTTCACTCCCCGTTTCTGGCTCTGCTTCATCTCCGGAAGGCTTGGCCATTTTCTCCTTTTTCCTTCTCCCACAATTCCACGCTGTTCCCGACCGCCCTCCCCTCTATCCATCTCCATTCAAGGAAGACAAGCGAATATTCCTTGAGCCCTCTAAGCTAGCTGCGGATGCTCCTCTCTGCACAGCACTGCCTCGCTCTCCCGACCTGCATCCCCCGGCCCCCAAGCCCAATTATGTTCAGCTACCCCTATGTTCTTTTCACGTCCCAGTCTTCCTTCCAAGGTTTCTCCAGCCACCAGGTCTCTCCCACGTCTCTTCCCCACCATCCTCCCCGAGGCCTTCTTCCTCCCCCCATTAACTCTCTCCTTTCCCATCATCCCCCTAAATCCCTCCCCACCCCCATCTTATCACTTTCAGACCCCTCCCCCACGACAACCAGCCCCAGACATGAGCGTCCTCAGCCCCCCTAATTCTTCTCTGTGCCTCAATCCATCTCAGGCTACCTGCCAGGCCGGGCCGGGGCGGGGCCGCGGGTCCTCGCGCTGCCTGCAGCCTAGAACCCGTTGCGCGCCAACCGACGCCTCAGTCTCCAACGAGATAAACACACAGTCAGGCTCGGTCCTTCCGGCGGCCAGCTGGGCGCGCACGTGCAGTTGGAGCCAAGCTCCCGAGGCCTTCCGGGACTCGTAGTCCACACGTTCCTGGAGGGATCCGGGAGAGTTGAGGAGCGGGCAGGAGCCCGAGAAGAGATCTTGCGCATGTGCCGGAGTGTGTCAAGCCGTAGGGGCTACCTGGGAAATGCAGTCCTTTGTTGTCTGGTCAAGGGCTGGCGGAGGCGGGGCGAGGGGGTGGACTCCTGTCCGTCACGAGCGCAGGGCGGGGCTCGAGGGCCAGGCGCTCTCCCCACGGTCCTGCCCGGCCGGAAGTGAAGGCGCGGGTTTGGCCGAGGGCTCCTGAGAGGGTGAGGCGCGCGGAAACACCTGCGCCGAGAGTTGGTGGGGCGGGTGGGGGACGCCGCGGTTTGGGTGGTTCGAGGGAAGCCCCTTGGGGCTGAACAGGCTTTTAGCCGAGCGGTACACAGGGGAACACCTGGGAAACGGGAGAAGGGGGCGGGTACGTGTTGCGGGGTGGTGGTGGTGGGAAGCCCGACGTCCCAAGGTTTCCAGGGAGCGAGATGGGCGGGTGGCGGGTATGTCAGGACGCTGTGTATTTTGAGAGCGGGCAGGGCAGGTGGTGGAGCGCAGTTTGTGATGAGAGCTGGGGCAACTGAGAGGCCGCAGGCAGAGAGGGAGGATATGAGGGAGGGAGAGAGGTGACGTGGGGGAGAGATAGATATGGTGGACGCGAAAGGAAACCCCAGGTAGCTGCGTGGGAGCGAGGAGCGAGGGTGGGCCTGGTTTTATGCAGTCCCTCCTATCCGGCTTCCCTGTTGTTCGCAGCCCCTGCCCGTATGGCAGCAGTAGTCCTAGGGGCAGACACCATGGGCCCCGAGCGTATCTTCCCCAATCAGACTGAGGACCTGGGACCGCATCAGGGCCCCACAGAAGGCACCGGGGACTGGAGCAGTGAGCCCGAGGAAGAGCAGGAGGAGGCTGGGGCAGGCCCAGCCGACTACTCCTACCAGCCCCTGAACCAAGATCCAGAACAAGAGGAGGTGGAGCTGGCGCCGGTGGGAGACACCGAGGACACAGTTGCTGACATCCAGGACCGCATCCAGGTATGGCTGGCCAGGGACTGTTCCCGAGGCCGCCAAGGCTGGAACCCCCGAAAGGTTGGGGGCACAGCTGGTTTTTCCTCTCTCCTGACTGTGCAGGCTCTGGGCCTTCATTTGCCAGACCCCCCATTAGAGAGTGAGGATGAAGAGGAGGAGGGAGCCACAGCGCTGGGCAACCATAGCTCCATTCCCATGGACCCAGGTAAGATATCCTTTCATCCTTGAAGCATGATAAAGCAGACTGGTCCAATCTAGGGTAGGGAGGTTCCAGAGGAACACTTATTTCTAAAAGAGGAGACTTCATCTGGAAGATCCGTGCAGATTTCAGAATGCAGGTGAGATGTTGGCCTGATAGACCCAAGTGTGTGGGCAGGCGTACTGGGCAGTAACCACAACGAAGAGCAGAGCCCATCTGCCCGAGGGAGCTCTGGGTTAATTTTAGGAATGGGAAGGGGTGCTGCCCCCTAATTGGCCCCTGGCTGTCCTCTCAGAACACGTGGAGCTGGTGAAGAGGACAATGGCTGCCGTGAGCCTGCCTGCGCCCGGGGTTCCTGCGTGGGCTCAGGAGATCTCTGATGCCCAGTGGGAAGACATGGTCCAAAAAGCTCTCCAGGCCCGGCAGGCATCCCCTGCCTGGAAGTGAAGGCCGCCGCGAGAGGCACATATTCCACGTTCCAAGCTGGAGCCAGTGATGGGACTGAACACATCCTCTTTCTCCTTCGCCTCCCTCTCCACATCAGCGCAGATGAGACTTCTCAGAGACCCACTTTATTCAATGCTGTACATATGGGGATGTTGGCCCAAGCCCCACCGACCTTGGCCTGTAGTACTCTGTGGAGAATAAAGCACCCTATGTACACAGCCAGAACCCACACTGCCTTGGCCCTGGAGCCTGGGCCCGGCCCTCCTCTGGCCCCAGCCCCTCCGAGAGCACCTGCCCTGCATCAGCACGAACAAGGAAATAAATAGGTGTTGGGGAGCCTTGCGGGGGGCACTGCTCCCTGCTTCTTCCTGTCTAGCTTTGGGAACCTGGTGCACAGGAGAGCAGTCAGTCCCAGGGTGGTCCCTTCCATGTTTGTGATCCCTGGGCTGCTGCTCACCCGGAGGGTGCAGGGTAGGATGTTGGTCCATCCGGGCTCTCAAATTCATTTTCTCTTGGCCTCCCTTGTCAGGGTCAGGCAGGGGATGAGAGGACATAATAACACCACCTCATTAGCCTGTGTACTGGTGGGGCTGGGGGCTTCTTTGTGCTGCTGCTGCTGCTGAGGGTTAGCTCCCCCCCAGCTACTCCAGGGGCTGACGGAGTTGGACATGACTTTGGTGAGAATCATCTCCTGCAGCTCCCTAGAAGCCTCTGTAGTTGGGAGTGGGGAAGAGATAGCTGGAGTTCCAGTGGGGATGGAGGGATGAGGAGGAGCATATGTGTTCCTAGATATGTCTCAGAGCAGCTTGGATAGCTGTGGGGTAGGAGCAGGAGGGGGCACGGCATCCCCAGTTGTCTGAGCGACAGCGGCAGCGCTCAGCCAGTCTGAACTAGCCACGGGGAGACGCAGACACATTCTGGGGACAGGAGGGAGTACGCTGCATGTCCCTGCTTCAAGTGCCTACTTCCTTCTCTCAGATAGCTAGAGAGGTGCTGCCGGGCCCCAGGTCAGCCAGTGGGGAGTGAAAGGTGGAGGGCCAAAGCAGCGTCCCAGGGCTGGGTGGCATGATGAGGGGGGTCAGAGTGCCTCCTGGCTGGCAGTTAGGAACTCCTCTGCCCGCTTGTGTGCCTCCAGCGCCTTGATGGTATACACATCCTGCGGCAGCTCCGACTTCCTCCGGAGCAGCACTTTGTCCTTCTTGATGTCCTTGAGCATCTGTGTGTGGGCAGGGAGGAGGCAGGGCATGGTGACCAGTCCCACTGCTTCCGTTTCGTCAGCCCCCTCCCCAACCACTTATTTGGGAAGCAGAGTAACAGTAAGGGGAGGACATCTTCCATCCAGATGGCTGCACTGGCTGGGGCTGGACTAGGCTGAAGCCAGGAGCTCTGAATTCTCTAGGACTTTCCCATGTGTGTGGGTGGTTTAACCTGGTACCCACTGCGCCCGCCCTGCCTCCCCAAATTGCCCAACGCCAGTCCAGGGTCTTCTACCTGCACGGCCTCGGTCTCCACCGTCCTCTTGAGAAGCTGGATGTCCTCTGCCGTGGGGGTCTCCGTCTCCATGGAGTACACAGGGGGCAGTGGCGGAGGAGCTCGGAACATGGGATACTGCGAGGGAGAGGAGGCAGACAGGCAGTGAGAGGTGCCCCTCAGGTGCCTGCTTCTCCAGCTGCAGTTGGGGCCCTCACTGCTCCATGGGTGGAAAGGCCTCACCTGGGGATTAAGCCGGGCTAGTTCCTCGATCTTCTGCCACATTTCCTCTCTTTCCTTCATTCGGAACCGACCCCTGAAGGAGCACAAGAAGGTTGGAGTTGGACTTGAAAGCGGCAGAGGAGTGGCGGTGGAAGGGGAAAACAAATGCCAGGGCAGGGGGCACTCACTTCTGCTTTTCTGCCTTGTATTGTTGTGTGCAGTCATCAAACAGCTTCTGATTCATTTCCATAAACAACTTCAGGGCATTGTAGATGAGGCCATGGATTGTCCTGCCACCAGGGACAAAGATGGGATACAGGAACCACAGCCTGTCCTTGGTCTCCACCCAAATGGCTGTCTCCTAAGTGTTTCTGCTCTTTTTTTTTTTTTTTCCATTTAGTAAATGTTGCCACTTCACAAACCCCTGACCAATGGAAGCAGCTAGCTCTGGTTTACCCTGTGACTTGAAACACCTGTCTACCCTACACAACAACTTGGCCTCACAGGGTGAAGTCAGAGAACCCCCATTCTGCCGTTTGGTGTCCTGGCCACAGCTCATTTCAAGTACCATCAGTAATGCAGTGGACATCAGTCCTGCTTGCTGGGTCCCCAGGAGGGACACATGCCACGCTAGTTTGTTTTTTTTTGGTTTTTTTTTGTTTGTTTGTTTTTATCTTTAGAGGTTTCAAAACCAGCCCACTGCCCCCTACCCTGTCCCATGCCAGTGTCTTACTTGTTCCAATGGCTCTTGGAATTCCTGTAGAGTGCAGGGAACATGATGGGGAGGACTCGGGCAGCATTATCACTGATGAGGCTCATGATGTACTCATTGTTCCAGTAATAGAGGGCACGCTCTGCCACCTGGTGGGCAGAAGTGGAACTCAAGTGTGGCTGCTGTGGGCCGTGCCTTGCCACGTTCTGGGAAGCAGTGCTTGGGCCAGGATGGGTTGGGAGGGCTTACCTGGAAGTGGGGGCTAGAGACACATTTGGCAAGCTGGCGGAAAAGAGGCTCCATCACTTTACTGAATTCCGAAGGCTCGATGACATCCAGGATCTCCTCTAGCTCATTCAGGAACATCACTTCCTTGGGGCTGTGAGTCTTGGGCCAAAACTTGAGGAGTCCCACAATCACCTGTGAGAAGAGGTGCTCAGCCATGTCAACATCCTGGCCAGCCAGCCCTTCTGCCTTCCCTTCACTTCTGCTGGTGGACACAGCAAGGGTGACTTGAGCTAACTGCTCCTGTGGCTCTGCCTTAGAGTTATTTCCTGGGGGTACACAGGGCCCCCCCCGCACCCCCCCCCGGCCCTTTATGACACCTGTCAGGTTGGAGGCCTGCTGTGAGCAGACTAGCAAGGAATGCTTAGGACCCCCGGGGCCTAGACAAGGAGTTACCGGCTCAGTCAGACTGCTCTCCTTCTCCAAGAATTGTACCACACAGTATGCCAGCTGCAAAAGGCATAAGGAAAGAGGTCAGGTGCAAGCCTCAGAGGGGTCAATGACAGAAACAAGATCCCAGCCCAGAAAGGGAGCAGGCTAAAGAGAATTAGCCCCTTGCTCGCTGTGCCACCCTGCACCACCACCACCGTCTTTTTTTTCCCCCTAATGTCCCAGGTGAGGAGCTCACCTGAGGGTGGTAGACACTCAGGGACTTGACCTTGTGGAGGGGCAGCAGGACACGGATGAGGAACATCTTGTGCTCTTCCTTCAGGGGCAGGGCAAAGCCATTGATGATGCTGCAAGACAGGAGATTGGTAAGGCCCCTAGTTCAGGGTGCCGTCTGCATCTCCCCTAGGCTGCCCTGCCATTTACCTGCCCAGGATCTCCAAGAGCTCAGCAATCCCGTTGTGATGCTCCGTCTCATAGATGAACCTGAAGAAAGAGCTCCCTTGAGAGGTGCCCCATGTCGGGCTGCTGGCCCTCCATCCCCGGGTCCTGCAATATCACCCCACTACAGCACGGGCAAGCTCTTCTCCCGAGTTGAACACCTGTGCTCACCTGTAGAAGATGTGGTTGATCTGTCTACGGATGTAAGCCCGGAGACCCAAAAACTTGCCGTAGATGCGATGCAAGATGGTCTTGAGGAAGTCCCGCTCTCGAGGATCCTCACTGTCAAACAGGTCTAGGAGCTGAGAGGGAGAGGGCAAAAGGACAGCAATGGAGGCAGTAGCCAGGGAGGCTGGCTGCTGGGATGACGGGGTTCTTGGGGAAAGGAAATGGGAACATGTCCCTGGAAAACAGGATGTTTACTATCCAGTGGTAGTGAGGTCCATATACTCACTCCACTGGGAAGACTGGTGCTTTTTGTTCAATCTCTTAAAGAGCAGGTTTCTTAAGCCTCCCCACTGCCACCCCTCCTAGTGGTATTGCATCAACATAGCATGGGCATTGGGGCCTGAAGCAGCTGTGACTCAGGGCTGGGCTCCAGCAAGGTGTGAGGGTAAGAGAATGGGGCAGCGGGGCGGGGCGGACTTCCAGGGACTCACAGCAAGGACAAACTTCTGGTCGATGTACTTCTTGGCTATATTTGGCTGGAAATCAGGTGATTCGAGGAAGCGAAGGAAGAATTCATACACAAGCTGCAGAGACAGAACAGCAACCCCCTGAGCAGGAGTTCCCCCAGGGGGGTACTGCCCTTGCTGCAGGGCTTCGGGGTGCCCCGTGCCCCAAGCTGGGCCCCTCACTCCCATATGGTACCTGGAGGTGTGGCCAGGCAGCTTCCAGAGTGGGCTCATCTTCCTCCGGGTCGAATTCGGCCCCTGTGGGATTCGAGGAAGGTGGCAGCGTCCTGAAGAGGTTCACTGAAAACTGAAGCCGGGAAGGGGGGCAGGAGGAAGCCAGGTGAGAGCTCCACCCTCCATCAGGGTCTCAGGGGTACGCTCCCCACCTCTGGGCTATTCCCTGGCACCCACCATGGTGACAGCCTCAGGGTAGATGGCCTCAGTGACCACGTCACGGCTGTGAGTGATGTATTCCACCATCTCATTGAGACCTGCCCGCTTCACCTCCTTGAACTTGAGGTCGCTGAGTGGGTCTGACACGAAGTCGAAGAGGACACAGCACTGGCGTAGCTTCTGGATAAACAGCTCCTCCCGCTCCTGGGTGGGCGAATCTGAGGGACCAACCCCCAGTCAGCTTCTGCTCCCTGGAACTTCCCTACCATGCCCAACTAACCTCCCAGGCCTTTCCTTTACTCCAGCATGCTACCTGGCAGCCATGGGCCCACTTTCTCTAGCACTATCTCCCCCATGTATCTCCAGGACCTCTGTGCCACTGATGCCCAGCCGCCCTGTAGGCCCAGGCCACCCTCCGGTACCTTTGAGGGCTGGAAGCTTCTGCAGCTCCCGGTTCTTGCTGAGGTTGAAGCGGGAGGAGCTCTGCCGTCGCTCCTTCTTCACAATCTGGGGTCCCCCTGAGTACTTGATCTTGCTGAGTTGTGTCGGGGGTGGTGTGCTGTTGCTGGGGCGCTTGTTGGAGGATGGCGGCTGCGACTGAGGTTGGGGCTGTGGCTGTGGCTGCGCCTGGGCCTAGTCACAGAGGGACTCTGTCTGAGTGCACTCCCCAGAACATGCCTCCCACCAAGGAGGAGGGGGTCTGGGCCACCCCAGCCTCTCTACATCCGCCTCCTGTGCTGAAGGAGGTAAGGCCAAGGTCATCCTAGGAAGGAGGTAGTCTGCCACTGCCTGAGAATAGGCAGTCCTGAGCAGGCCAGGCTGACCAATGGGTCAACAGCAGCAGAAGTTAGGGAAGTGAGAGCCTTCCCAGGGCAGTGGTGGGGTTACAGGCACAGATGGAGAAGAAGTCAAGGAACCTTCTGAGTTAGTGACACATTGGCATCCGACTGGATCTGGGAGGCTGCAGGGTACACGAGGCATACACAGCTCAAAGTTCATTAAGCCCTGTCCCTGAGACAGCAGAAGCTGGGACCTCCTTCAACCACATTGCAAAATAAGAAACACCCATGTGTCTCAATAATTTGCCAGAAATTCAGTGGAGTCAAAATTCCATATCTTAAAATAGGTTTGTGCACAAATAAGTTATTCTTTATTAAAAAAAAAAAAAAGTTGAAAAGCACAGAGAAACAAAGAGAAAGAATCTTCCATCTGTTGGTTTGTTCTCCAAATACTACAATAGCCAGAGCTGGGCCAGGTTGTGAAGCCAGGAACCTGGAACTCCAGCCAAGTCTCCTACATGGGTGGCTGGACCATCTTCCCCTGCTTTCCCAAGTGCATCAGCAGGAAGTCAGATTGGAACTGAAGCAACTGGAACACCCCCAGTGGTGCGCATATGGGAGTGAACCAATGGATGGGAGCTCTTGGTCCCTCTTTCTACTTCTATTTTTTGTTAGTTTTTTCTTTCTACTTCCCAAATAAATAAATGTATATTAATGAACATTTTGTAATATAAGTGATCACAAATGGTTCAACTGTGAAAAAATGTTTATATTGTTATAGTAACTTACCCAAAGTTGAGAAGATGAGGAAATACCTATATGAAGATATAAGAATGCTGAGACTATAATTTTCCACAGTAGAAAGTCAAAAGCATCTAAATTTAAAAAAAAGAGAGAAAAGAAAAGGCCCAAGACCCGGTGTGATAGCATAGCGGCTCAAGTCCTTGCTTCTCATGCACTGGGATCCCATACGGATACCGGTTGTAGTCCTGGTGGCCCCACTTCCCATCCAGCTCCCTGCTTGTGGCCTGGGAAAGCAGTCAAGGATGGCCCAAGGCCTTGGGACCCTGCACCCGTGTGGGAGACCTGGAAGAGGCTCCGGGTTCCTGGCTTCAGATCAGCTTCAGCCATTGAGGCCACTTGGGGACTATATTATCGCACAGAGGATCTTCTTCTCTGTATAGCTGCCTTTCCAATAAAAATAAAATTTAAAAAAAAAAAAAGTGTATTTTAAAGAAAGAAGCAGTGGGAGACTCTGGATAAGTCCAAGGTGGCCCTGGGAGGAGCGAGCTCAGAGTTGGGATGCTAAGAGAGCAGGCTGGGCCAGGGGCTGCACCCAGGGCCCTCACAAGCCCTTTTGACTTTCTGACTGATAAACACAGCAGCATGTTGAAAAAAAAATTAAAGCAAAACCACATGTTGATGGAAAACTGCTTCCTATGCTAAGTCACAAAAGGACAATACCAAACTATATGCAAAACAAGTTCACCCACAGCAAAACACAGGCACAAACCACAAGACCTGGGTTCAGAAAAGGCACATGAGCAAGCCACCTTGGAGCTCCCTGCAGTGAAACTGCAAATGCCTCCTCACCCCCACCCAAATATCTAAATTTCCTACCAGCTGACATTTCTTTTATAATGGGAGAAATAAATACACTCAACTTTTTTCTTCTTTTCAATAACTGCTTGAATGCCAGAGTGACAGAGAGACAGATCCTCCACCCACTGGTCCACTCCCCAGTTGTCTACAACAGCTATGGCTGGGAAAGGGTGAAAACAGGAGCTAGCATGTTGGGCAGCAGCTCCAACCAGCACAAGCTGGAATGGGGGCAGACCAGACCAGGCAAGGCTACAGCACCCAGCAGCAAATGCCAAGGATGAGATGGGCCATGCCAGACTGGGCCACCAGCACATGAGAGACCAGGGCAGGGGGACGAGACTGGTAGTGGAGATGTGGAGACTCCACTGCTAGGCCACCACTAACGCTGGCAAGCATGAGAGCTGGAATTGGGGGCAGACCAGGTTAGGCAAGGCTATAACACCTGTTGGCCCACGTGTGAAACGGGTTAGGGAGAGAGCCAGGCTGGGGTAGTTGATTGTATCCACAGGTTCAGGCATGAGCCAGAATAAGAGCAGGTGGGTTGGACTTTGCCACAGCATCAGCTGGCAAGTGCTAGGACTGGGGGCAAGTCCTGTCAAGCTAGACTGCAGAATCACCTGGAGAGTGTAAGATTGGGGGAGGGGACTAAATCCAGTGGGGAGGTTGTAGTTCCTCTATGATGGGCTGCAGCTCCAACTGGTGAGCAAGGGAACTGGGATTGGAGGTGGGCCTGACTGGACAGGTGGTGGCACCTGTAAGCATGAGCGTGTGCTGGAGGATGGAGTCGGTTGGGTTGAGTCAGGCTACAATGCCTAATGATGTATATGAGACCTGAATGGGATGCGAGGCAGACCAGTCTACTGTACATGCTGGCAGGCACAGGAACCAGAGCTGGGGACCAGTATAGTGCAGATTATTGGGGGTCGCACTGACTGGGCTGCAGCTCCAGCTGTGGTACGTGAAGGCCAAGCATGTGTTGAGCAGGGGTGGGCTGGGCCGCAGCACCCATTGGTTTGCTGAGGATGGAAGGCACAACAAATTGATCAACTACCCTAATAAGGATTGAGAGCAAATTTCTGGGCCAATGGAGACTCGGAGGTGAACTATGACAACCAATCAACATCGAAAGGATTTCCCCATCCTTGGAGCAGCGGTATCAGCATCCTCTCAGAACTATGGAAAACACATGAACAAAACCTTCAGAGAATGCTCCATAATGGGGAACCTGGGATGACACCGGAGAGCAGTTCCCCACCCCCAGTAATATGGCAGTTGGGAGGCTGGGTGTGGTTTCTCTTTTTGTATTGCTCCCCCTCACCCATATGCGGGAAGAAGAAAATGTGTAAACAAAAAGTCTCACCCACTATCTCCTGATCCTTGACCCTTCCCACCCCGATCAACTATGTAAATATCATCAATTATAAAATTTAAAAAAATTTTTTTTAAAAAAGGAGCCAGGAATTCCATCCTGGTGTCCCACTTCTGGTAGCTGTCACTTGCTGCGTTTTCAGGTGCGTTACCAAGAAAATGGATCAGAGGCCAGGTAGCTGGCACTCTGAATGGGCACTCGGGGAGGAGTGCAGCTGTCTCAGGCAGTGGTTTCACTTGCTGTACACAATGCCCACCCCAAAGCAGCTAATTTTAAAAAGTTATTTCTGGATGTCAGAGCTCCCTACTGGGAGAGAGGACAGAGACTGTGCCACAGCCCAGCTCTTGCCCAAATCACAGACTGCCACAGGACCAGGAGAGTGAGGCTAGGTCCTCTAGTGGGAACCCCAACATCACAGGACAAGCCGACCCTCCTGTCTGCCTAACTGCTGCCAAGCCCCCTTCAGCTTTTTTTTTTAAGATTTATTTATTTATTGCAAAGTCAGATATACAGAGAGGAGGAGAGACAGAGAGAAATATCTTCTGTCCGATGATTCACCAAGTGACCACAATGGCCAGTGCTATGCCGATCCAAAGCCAGGAGCCAGGAACTTCCTCCAGATCTCCCACGAGGGTGCAGGGTCCCAAGGCTTTGGGCTGTCCCCGACTGCTTTCCCAGGCCACAAGCAGGAAGCTGGATGGGAAGTGGGGCTGTTGGGATTAGAACCAGTGCCCATATGGGATCCCAGCATGTTCAAGGCAAGAACTTTAGCTGCTAGGCCACTGCGCTGGGTCCCCTCCAACTCTTAACAGAAGAATGGGAGTTTGAAATCCTCTGGCTGGGGGGAAGGAAGGACAGATATGTCCTGCTTTGCATACACTGAACTTTTCAAAGAAACAGTTCTGTGGAGCCCATGGCCCACCTAGGGCTGAGAGACTGGGACAAGAACATGGGGTCCAGCCCACACAGGCGCCTGTGGATTTAGCATGGCTCGTTGTCACCAGGGCCTTCTTGCTGCCTGAAATCACTGACCCCATACATGGACATGACAGGCAGAATGCAAGAGAGAGAGCGAGAGCAATGTCACACACCACCAAGGGGATCTTAGTACTAAGCACCCTAGGCGCTGACATCTCTCTTCCTACACACAGGTGAGTCCCACCTCGGGACTGAGGAGAAAGGGGTGCATGCAAGCTCAACACCCCATCTGCAGTACCTTCCTCCCACCCCCGAGTCTGTTACCCTGCCTTAGAAACAACCATGGAGCTTAGGGCTCCTGTGTCAGGCTGCTTGGGCTCAGAGCTGGCCTGGCCATTTAGTAACTGAGCAACCTACAAAACCTCTGCTAGCTCATCTGTAAAATGGGATGTCAACAATACCAAACTGCCAGAACAGTAATAAGGACTGAACTGACTGATACATAACACAAGACAAGCATTTAAGGGGCCAGCATTGCGACAGGTTAAGCCGCTATATGTGGCACTAGCATTACATATCAGAGCATGGTTCAAATCCCAGCTGATCCACTTCAAATCTCGCTCCCTGTTACTTGTGCCTGGGAAGGCAGCGGAAGATGGCCAAAGACTTGGGCCCCTAATGCTAATGTAGGAGACACCTGGATGGAGTTTCAGGCTTCTGGCTTTGGTCTTGTCCTGTCAGGCCATCATCTGGCAAATGAACAGCAGAATATTCTCTCTCTGTTTCGCAGCCTTTTCTGCCTTTTAAATAAAAGTCTTGGACTGGCAAGGTGGCTTAAGCCTCTGCCTGTGGCACCAGCATCCCATATGGACTCTGGTTTGAGTCCTGGCAGTTTCTGATCCAGTTTCATAATAATAGCTTGGGAAAGGGCCCAGCGCCATGGCATA